TGACCTAGCCGTTTTAATATTCAATTATTCATGAAGAGGAAGTATATATACATATTATATTTTGCCAATTGGTAACCATCATGATGAGCTGCCTGAAAATGAACCAGTGATGAATTAACGCGGTTTTGTAATATGCCAAAAACCTTAAAAATGGCTGGTGAGATGGGACTGTAGGAAATTAATTGTGCTTTAATCTTCTTCTTTTTCTTCTTTTTTTTTGTTGGGTGCGAGTCAAGTCGTGCTCTCACTTCACACGCCAGAGATATCAGTTTGACTATTTGAGGCCTGTTTTTTTTTATAGATATAAATATGCAGTGAGTGAGTTGCTGATGTGTTTCGAAATTATTACATACCTTCTGGAATTTCCAGTTGAACGTTTTCAACAAAGTTATTATTTGCCTATATGATGCTCTACTACTATCTCATCACGAATTGATTTTCGGGTGAAGCCTCAACTTCCTTCATTCTTCCTATTCCAATTCAAAATTATTTATTAATGGAAGTCACTCTGCTCAATTTCAATCAGTTGAGCTAATAATGGGGAAAGAAGCATCAAAATAAGCAAAACAAAACAAAAAGCATTGGCCAAATGAGTACGCAAGAGCCCTACATAAGAAGATTCATCCAATTGTGAAATTGCATTGAGGAATCAAAACCAACTTTTTTCTTCATTGTGGATATACTCTTTCTATGAATATCGTACTTCTTTAGGATTGCATATCTTAAAGTTTTGGATAAGCAGAAGTTAGTAGCTAGCTCTCATAACTAGTACTGCATATGCATGGCTCCCTCCAGACCACACAGCTGAGTCTATGGACATACATTGTGCCACTTGTTTATCTTTCTTATTTTGTTCAAGCAAAAAGTTCATCCAAATTTGAAGGGATAATGGTTTAACCTAAGTTAGTAATTGTATAAGCCGAGTGGAATATATGCTTTCAATATGATATTGTTTTGGACTTTAATTATATAGTGGAAGCCCATGTGTCTTGAAAAGTGCTTGTAACCCAAAAAAGTGATGAACTTTTTTTTATTCCTTTTTTATTGTTTAATGTGTGTAATTTATGTGTGAGTGGAATAAAAGGATAATATTTAAGATGGGTTGTATTATAGAATATATGTACGTGTATCAAGAGAGGTTTCCCACTCCACGCAATAAAAAGAGTGATTAATCCATAATATTTCCTGAATGTTTAAGCATAAATGTGGAAAATAAGTTAAATATCTAATATATGTATTGTAGAACCCATGTTTATGGGTGTACAATAGCATAACCATGTTGTGGCAAGTGGGGGCGCAAGAAAGTGTTTCCTATTAATTTAGCCCAAAAGTCTAAGTGTATTCATTGGTTTTTTTTTTCTTCTAAAGGTGGGAACAGATAAAGGTGTTTGATGAAATGTTTCAAACGGAGAGACTGTGGAGCCGGTTGCTAATGTAGGTATATAATATGAGAGAGAGAGAGAGAGAGAGAGAGAGAGAGAGAGAGAGAGAGAGGATAATTGGTATAGGGGGGAAGGGTCGCACGCGGTTTTGCAGTACTAGAAGATGATAATAGGTCATTTGGCTGAAAACCATGATATCACCATGTGGAAACCACAATGAGCAAATGTGGAGGTTCCCCTAGCCACACTCTGATCATTTGCATGACTTTAAGGACTCGAAAAGACCCCAACATGGCTCCCATCCCACGTTACGCCGTATAATGTCCCTCATGCACATATATATATATATTTTCATCTTCCCTTAATTTCTTTGTTAGATCTTTATAGCTAGACTTCCATGCAGTTAGGTCTACCAATTAGTATGTATATACATGAAAAGACCGGTACCAGTAACAAAAGTACGTATGCGCACAATGTTTTCTTCAGTAACATTCATAGATTTGGAGCTACTACAACAAAAACTGAATGATGATCACTTTAGATGTGAAATATATAGCATGAAGATGTTGATAGCAAAGAGTGAGGTCATGGATTGACTGGAAACTAGAGGTCACGTATACTTGTACCGTGCGTAACACATAATTGATTAGCTGGGCTCTTGGACGTATATACGACATGTGTTTGGTTAGAAAGTACTCAGTTTTGTATGTATTGTCATGCCAGATTGAAGAAGAAAAGAAGTGAAGGCCAGCTAATAGGTAAGCTCTTGGATGTGACTCAATTAAAAAAGACAATCGAGCCGTATATATATGAGGAGTTCGAAGTCAAAAAGTTTAATACGAAGTCCAATGAGATAGCATTTCTATGTTGTTACTTTTGTCCTTCGTTGCAGAGTTTTGTACCATATTGGAGTTATGCTTCTGCAACAAAGCAAGAAAATAATACCATGCTTTTTGACCTGACCATCTCAAATTATTTTGCAGGCTTTTCTTGTTGCGAGGCCACATGACATGAGGTACTGTCAATAACCCAAATGGGAAAATTTACTTAGAGAAGAAGCTACGAGACTGTAAAAATTGCCAGAATTATTATGCTATTCCAAGGCCACTTTGGAGACTCCAACACTCAAACGTTGTAGCTTTTAATAACACTGTCTTGTTGTCGCATCAACATATCAAACACAGATTAACACCCGGAGCTTCATTCGATTCGATTTATTTAGGAGATGACAAGATGTTGCAGCAGGCAATACATGCACACTTGGTCCTCTCAAGTCAAAGATTTCCAGTCATGGGCAAGCCCTAATTCTTCACCATAATTAATGATGCAGAAACTATGCCGGCCGACCCATGCGTGCTGTCTTATTTTACGGCTCTTCAACATGTGATGTATGTTCACGTGAGGAAGAGAGTTGGATGCCAGTCCAGGTGAGGAAAGGTGGCGTTTTCAAATTAGGAGTCGGGACAAGATCGGATCGAGAAAAATTTCGGCATCACGTGTTAAGTAACAAGATGTGTTCAGGTTTGTTTTGTTTTGTTAAAAATAATTATAAATATTGTTGGTGCATAAAAATGTTCGAACACTTTCGGGCCCAACATAGAGATGATGTCGTCTTTGGCCTCATGGGTTCTTCAGCAAAGGATCTGCAAGGCAAATAATGAATGATGGGTCCTTAGGTACCGGCCGAAAACTCTTCGATGCTATAGTTAGCTTTTAAGGATGAAGTGAATAGTGATATGGACAGAGTAATGGCTAAGTAGCCGAATGTAACAATTAACTCATTTGGGGGACTTGTGCCCCTTTTTATAGACTTTGAAGGGTGTGTGTCTTGAGTAAGATTTCGATGTAGGACTGTGAGCAATGCCCAATAGGGTGCCACATGTTCTTCTGAGAAATCACTAGCGAGGCGCATTCTTTTGGCGTGCTTTGCAGGATGGGTTGCCGAAGACTCATCACCTACCGATGGTATTCCGTGGGTCAAAATGCTTTGCCGAGCTATATGCGCTCCCTTTGTGGGTCCTTTGTTTTCACGTGTCACGTTCTGATTGGCTAGTCAGATATGGTATAAACAAATATAATCTCAAATATTCAACACGCACAATATATAAGTCATACATATCCAACAACCAACCTACAGACTTCAAGCCTTCATTATACAACATCAATCATCAATATAAATTGGGTCTCAGAACAACTTAAATAAGTTTCCTAGATCCATCTTGACATAATTGAAGATAACATAAAATAAGATATTTAATTAAAAAATGACACGTGTTCAAGTTCAATGTAAACTTTTATTTCTTGAAGAAAATGCATTTTGATAGAGAATATCCTACCATTGAAAAGCCCATCAAGTTAGCTCAAGTAGCGAGGGAGTGTAGGAAAATTGATTAGAAATAGATTTAGGACATGTTAACGGTTCAATCTCTCAAATATAACCCAATGGTACCCTATTATAGAAACAGTCAGGACAAATTTTTCTCACGTTTGGACACCTAATCGTAGGTCCAAAATCCACTCATTTCACATCAAAGCCCAAGGACCCCATTTTTTATCTCGTACAAAAGAGTTTGGAGCATGTCATCTTATCTCCAATTTTATCGGATGTGCCAAGGGGGAACAAGAACCCCTTTAAATGCAATAACACATTTAAAAGGGCCAACCCAAGCAAAGCAAAAATAGGATGGAACTTGTCCGTGCGACACCTAAGCTAAGCCTAGGTTTTTTAATGGGATGGAGCTTTTTGCATCATGCAGGCTTTATGTCTCCCACTAAATCTGCTACCTTATCCTTGAACTCCATTACCACAACAGCTTGGAAGAAGATGAACCTTTTTTTCTTCCAGTACCGTCTACAACAACACAACTATGATGTTGTTCATGTGCTTTTGTTTTGGTTTTTTGGTACAACATAATGGACTTGATTTAGTGGATGGGATGAGGATATCCCAGCCGCCCACCCTACCCCATTTCTCAAAGGAGAAATAATTGTTAGACACAGCCAACAAATGACAAGATATTTTCTCTTTGAAAGTATTGTCGGGGGTGATTCAAGCAAAGAATCTCGGGTGCACGGATAATTACTCTTAACTACTTGAGTTACAAGTCTATATTGCTCTATCCTATCAATCAAAAGTTTAAACTTGGATAAAATAAATAAATAATGAAAATAATAACTTGAGATGTTTGGCCACCCTTTACTTAGTTCTAAGCTAAGAAATGATATTAAGCTAATAAATTCTTTGACTAACATCACTATTACCTATATTACAAAAGTGAATCATGAATATAAAAATCTGAAAAACAATAATATGGTGTGTTGCTCTCTTCTTTTTGACAATTGAGAATAGATGAAATCCTAAATTCAATTCATATTGAAAAAGAGAACTGGGGAGGAAATAAGAACCTGCAAACCTCCATCTCAAATTACATCAAAGAATTCGCTCAAGAAAAACTAATTTATCCGACACATCTGAGCACTAATTCAGGCTTCACTTCCCAAAACAAATTCAATGAAAGAATAAACACATGAAAAAATAAGGTTAGACGGATAGGGGTAAAGATTCCTAAAAAAGTTTATGTTACTGTACCAAGCAGCTTCAAGATATATGTCAAGATGTCAATTGAATGACTTGAGGTGAAAAACTTGGCAGTTTGAGACATATGACATCTTTGTTGCGGCCAGTTTAAACTTCATGGCGGCATCTTCGTTCTCTTCCAAACTAATCTGACCAAAATACTTAGACCACCAGGATGTGCTCCTCAATTTAGCCTTCGGAAAGAAAACACTTCAATATGTCAGTTATGCAGTGAATGAAAACAATTATGTAAACCCCCAACAACAATTTGAAAAATCAAAGACAAGGTAGAACGACGAAATAAAAAGAAACATTAGAAGGCACAAGGGTATAAAGACATGGACGATGAACATAAAATGTTTTATCCTTTTGAAATGTTCAAGGTTCGAAGAATAATTGAACAAGCAAACATAAAGGAAACTAGAGTATCCTAAGTGCAGCAGTTACTTACCGCCTTCCCAAATTTGGAGACCTCAGCAGCTTTAGCTCTATGCTTACGAGGATAGCCTATATGGAAGATATCAAACATCTCATTAGGCCGACAGATTCGTAAATTTCTCCCACTAAGATGTGGATTTTGTATTGCTACTTGGCACAAATAAAATACTCTGTTCCTGATATGAAAGAAGACAAAATCTTCTCGAAGAACCAGAAATACATCTTCAAAATAGTAAGAAGCGAAACCAGGTGGACTATACGGCACCCAAACAGGCACATTTTATCAAAATGAAAAGAAAATACTTTTGTCACCTTCCTAGATTCGACCTGCTCACAAGTTGTTACAAAAGAAGACAGGTTACAGATCTCCAAATCCAAACTAAGGACCTTTGCTGTAAGATGACGACTCCAGAAACATATGAAATCAGGCTTATACGGATTTGAACATCAATAGTTCAGTAGAGGTTGGCCATCAATGAGGGGCATAGAATTGCAAATGATGTGACCATAATCAGGTAGAAGAACCTCAAGGATAGAAGCGCAGCCTATAAATGTATAACGAAACGCAAAATACATAAATGTATTTAACAAGTAGACGTAAGATCTTACCAGTAAAGACCACAAGACCATCAACTGATACCCTTGCCAGATCCGGGAGGGTCTTGTTGAGGTATTTATCCGACAAATAATCCAACGCATCTGAAACAAGTACAATAGAAAACGACTTTGGCCTGTATGGAAGCGGATGCTTGATATCAACAACACGAACTATGTCTTTGCGCACAAGAGCTTTACAGCTTCTACCAGCATCCTCTACATCATAAGGTTCCACACCCCATGCTTCAGTTTCTTCCTCACTCAGCAATGTAGAAACCACTGCACAAGTATCAGGGCCAACGTGCAAAACCTTATGCATGCTGTCACCATATGCTTTCTTCAAAACAGGAATTGCTCGTTGGACCTCCGCTGTGCATGAGTAATCACCTGCAGCTAAAATCTTCATATGAGGTGACTTAAAAACAAGTTCATAGAACAGCAAAAATATAGCAGAATTATGAATACATGAATTAAATCGCCAGCTGCTTGTCAACTCATACCATTTTCCAAAGCTAGAAACTGGGATTAAATTTCACAAACCAAAACATAATTGCTAGTGTTGCGACGGTTTTAAACATTTTCACACAAGAAGATACATATTGTCTTTAATGCAAAAGACCATTTGTTGTAATTTACTCCCAAAAAAAAAAAGTTTTGTGCCATGGTCTGGTACAAAGGTATAAATAAATAAATAATTTAAGAAATATACAGAGCATATACAAAATATACCTTCAACCCTGCTAACAACCCCTTTAACAATGCTACCACCTCCACCTACAAGCAGTCACAAATACACAACATGAACAATATCTATCAGACCAAAAAATAAAAATATTATGAAATGAAGTCAAATTCATTACGCATTAAGCAAGACAAATCGATATGTAAAATCAAAATAAAAGCAAACGGCTACCAACCTCTGCCGCCGTTGTATGAATAGGCAAGAAGAAGCAATGCTCCCTGAAAATTCATCATTACCATCATTCAAATGATCCCAACATTATTTCTTCAGCCCACAAATTAAAATAAAATAAAATAAAAGGAAATTGAGTGTAAATTAATTACCACGGCGATAAGTGCGACTGATAAGATCGGAGAAGACCTCGACTTAGAATAGGCAGAGCCTGAGAGTAAAGAGCCTCCATTGTCCCCAAATCGCCGAGACGGGTTCAAATTCACATTCACTGGCCTCCGAGACATGGCTTTTCGGACTTTGCTGTTTTATATGTATCTCTGCCATAATTAATTCATTAATCACTAACTAATTAATTAAAATTGCATTTGCCAAACACATCTGTTAACGAAATTATCAGAAAAAGAGGCGTTAAAGAACCCACATTGGATCGGATTTGCCTGCTGCTGACTCAGAGAGTCTCTGTGCTATGAGTTGGGAGTTGAAGACGATGGCTCGTTTTTTCTTTTTTTGGTTCCAAAATCTAATTGGTTTGGGCCGATTGGGCCCATGAGCCCACGGCCCACAAATCACACAAGCACACATCGCCAAGATTGGAGATCGGTTTCTCTGCTCAGATGTGTCTCCAACTCCATTTCCACTGAGAATTTGAGAGAGAGTCGTATTCCAAGGCGGTGTAAGCGACTCTGAGGAAATACAATTCACAAAAGTCCTCTTCTTTTTTTTTCTTTTGAACAGGAAAAACCCTAGCCATGGTTGTTGGGTTTCGCGAACATTTACAGTAACAATTGTTGAATTCGATAGCTAAAGCTTGTGACTTTGCGGGAAAATGAGCGACGACGATGGTAATCGGAATAGGAATAAGAATGGCCCGTGGACGCCGCCAAACAGACCCTACCAGGAGAGAGAGGAAGACATGAAGATTTGGGGAATTCTGGTGTTTGGTCTAATTGGCGCCACCGCCACAACTCTCGCGGTAAGTTCAATTATCTTCATCTTCCTTCTTGTACGAGTGTGAGTCCAATAGGAATTGAGAATTGAGAATTGTGTGGGAATTTGGCAGGTTTCACAGCTTCGTAGGACCGTTGATTGGGTCTATACTCAGGTAGATTTCGTATAAATAATGGGTTTGTCTGCCATTTTGTAAATTCGAAGCCTTTTGTTATTTGTGAACCGAAAGTTCTATGCTTGAGATGAAGTTTAAGAGACCATGGTAAATGTAGTTAAAAGTGCTTAATTAGAAAGTAATCCTGTTCTTTTCTTTTCTTCTTCTTAAATAAAAGTTAATATGTGGGTTAGTTTGTAGTTCTTACTGGAGCTGATCATGTTTTTTATTGCATGGAAAAAGTTGTTCAGATCACAATCATCGTGGAAAGGAGGAAGCGGTAGTTCATTCCGGACATCCTTTCAGGAGGAAGCATGGAAAAAATATAATCGTCGCATGCAAGAGGAGTATGAGGAAGAACTGGAGAGAGTGGTGAGTTTTCATTCTAATTTCTATTTTGGTTTTCAGATTTACTTCTCGGCAACTATCTGTTAATCAAGCAAACGTTGATTGTAAAACTCTGTTAATGTTTTTTTTATTTATTTGTAATACTGAAATCTTCCGCCAAATTGCCATTATTGTAAAACTCTCAGAGTGCTGTTTTTTAGCCAATTGCTGTTTTGCCTTTACTCGAACTTTTTTATATTGTATATCTGTAAATGCAAAAGGCATACACAAGTCATCACATTGCATCCTGAAAACCTGCTGAGCTCAGAATTAATATTTTCAACTCCAATGTTAGAGTAGTTCTTAGTGCTTGCCTTAAAATGTCAACTCTCTCTCTCTCTCTCTCTCTCTCTCTCTCTCTCTCTCTCTCTCTCTCTCTCTATAACAAAGAAAGCATCCCTAAGATGACTCAAAGGGTTGTTTTTATTTAAAAAAAAATTTATAATCATGATTGTCATCTGTAGGAACGTATTAGGCGTATGCAAAGTGTATTCAATAGAGAGAGGAACAAATACAAAAGCAGCTATGAGAGCTGGAGGGAAAATGGTCAAGGTGCATACCATCAACATTTCCAGCGAGAAGATTGGTATTGGAAAACTGATACATCCTTCAAAGACCGGAGGAATAACTACAGGGAGACTCCTAGGGAAAATGCAAGCTATTTATTATCGCATCACTACTCAATATTAGGCCTTGACAGGTAAAGTTGGTATCATGCATAGATCTCCTTTTCTGTGTATTGTTGATAGTCAATATCTGGCTGATGTACCAAGTTGAGTTTATATCATTTTAAGATGTAATGCTTATGCTTCGTAATGCTGGATTCACTTTGCAATTCCGTCCCATGTTCAGAGGATCAGATCTGTCAGACATGTATTTGCATGATTCCCCAATCTCATCAATAACGTAAACAATAACATAAACTTGACATTTTCACTTCTCTTCTTTTTTGAACAGGTTTAGAAAGGCACCTTACACGGATGCTGAGATTAAGGTATTCCCTGTGTTTTGACGTACTGTTAACAGTGTTATGACTGTAATTGGATGTTGGCTGTACCTCATGATGTTTTTTTTTGTGGCGGAGATTATGATGGACCTGCTATAACTTCGTGTCAAATATAACAAAAGAGATCATAGGTTCAAACCACAACAAAAACTTGTAGTTCTGATATGCGTGTTGTATTGAATTTCCAGCAGCTGTTACTAGAGTCTAATCCATTAAAGAGTTTCATAGAGTAACTGAGTCATTTCTTTTGTGTTCTTAACCTTGTTTTATTCTTGCAGACAGCGTTTAGGACCAAGGCAAAGCAATTTCACCCAGATCAAAACCAAGATAATAAAGGTGGGGTATTCTTGGCCATTACCGAATTTTGTTAGCTGATGCCGTTGCTTTGCGTTGAAGTTCAATGCTTGTCTTTTGTTGCAGAGGCTGCTGAAGCAAAGTTTAAAGAGGTAATGACGTCCTACGAGGCCATAAAGAAAGAGAGGGGAAACATGAATCTGTGAACCGGCTGATACAGCCTGCGATTTTTGCGACGTTGAAGGGCGCAGGGTTGTGCAGTATTCAACAGGGCACTTCTACCTTTTCTCTGCATTATTAGTTAACAGCAAGAACATAATTCTGAGTAGATAAATCTTAGCCTCTTGATAAAGAATTTGAAAGTTCGTTCTTGATGTTGTATATCATATGGCAATAATTGGTGATTTTTTTTATATACCCACATAAAGTAAAGGCGGGATTTGTATTTGGATTTTGGAGAACATGCGACTACGCATGCATAGGCTTTGTAATATATTGTTTTAACAATTTTCCAAAAATTATGTGATGTATATAATTAATAGAGTTCTTTTATTTGAGTGTGATTAACTGAAAAATAATTCAGTAGAATTTACTTTATTTACCATGTGGATGTTCTTTGTTTTTTTATCTTTTTTCTACGGGTTGAATTTGATCCTTAAATAAAATAAACAAATAAATAAACTATGGAGGACGTTAGAAGTTTTTTTCTTTCAATTATGTACTTTAAAAAATAAAAAAAAAAGGAATAAACACATAGAAAGAAAGTGTCCTAGAAAACAAAATCCGCGGTTACTACAACAAATCTCTGTTTTTCGCATTCACCACCCTCCCCCTTCAACTTCGCACAAGGAATGGCGGGTGGCAGTCCAAACCGGAGCCTCTGCCGGCAGCACGGTTTTCTCAAAACCTTCAATTTATGCTATCTTCAGTCTTTTTCATTTGCTTCTCACTTGAGACAGGTGCTCTGTAATATGCTGGAACAGTAGCAGGAAAAAACATTTGTCTAACTCCTTCGGCCTTAATTATGGGGAATATGATTCCCGAGGCACTCTGCAGCAGAGAAACTTGTCTGGTCAGAAATCATATAAGCATCTCACTAGTGTGAAGAAGGGAATATACAACCAATTTATACTCACGGAAATTAATCTGGCTCCAATCCAGGCGCGTTTAGGCGATGGAAATGGCAGCAACAGCCGACCAACACCGTATACTGCAACAGCGAAGAAATGGAGAACCAAACTCAACGGGCGAGGGTTGAGTCCCGAGAGTAGAGATACTGGTCCATTAGAGAATACACCTCCGAGACTTAGGTAATCGAAGCAAGCCTGGCGCATTTCCTTTCTCGCTTGATCAGGAGAAGAAGAAAAGACCTTGTAAAGGGCCCCTGCTAATGTATTTATAGTGGATGCCACTGGCTAAAAATCGAAGGATTATATAGACTCTGAGTTAGAATTTAGATAGCGCAGAACTTCGTGTTTTAAAACACCAACATATTAATATAACTTACCTTGCGCAGAGTGTAAAACGATTCAAGATATTTCGACAGTGTGGATGCATCATTTAGGTTGGTCAAAGGCCTGAGAAGATTCTGCAGCACAACGATATCAGACAATGCCACGGTCATTCCTCCCCCTGTTAGAGGGTGGCGCATGTTGAATGCATCTCCCATCAATAGTGCTCCAGGAGTAGGATAGGGAGCGGCTGGCATGCTTCTGTTGGGCATTGTCCTTATGGTACCCTTGTCAACTGCAGCTATGAAGGCATCATAAAGTTGAGGGGGAATCTGCAATTGAAGTGCAGAGAAAACATGAAACCAAATCCTGGATTTAATGGGTAAATAGAGATGCAGAGAAGAAAAAAAAGTTCAATAAAGTCATAAAAAGCATATATATATGTACGGTACCTGAGGAGCCACCACAGCCTTCAAATACTTTGCCATTTCACCATTTGAAATGGAAGGAACTTTTTGTCCAGGTACATCAACCAGACAGCGAACCTCTGTACTACTGATTTGATAGAACAAAATAGGAGAAGGGTCTGCTAATATAACATGTCCGTGATTTGCATGCGGAAGATCGCAATTCTCCAGGATTAACCCAACAAAACAAGAAGGCACATCAACCTGCAGAAAACAAAATTAATAAAAGGAAGTTGATGACAGCTCTAGGCATTAACAAAGAAAGTTGAATGTCACATATGTTTTTAGTTACTTTGCAGAAAAATATAATGCTATATATCCAAACCTCACCTTAGGATCACAAAGAGAGCGACGCAAGTTGGAGAAACAGCCATCACAAACAATAGTAAGAGGTGCATATGCTGTCATCTCTTGGCCAGTCTTATTCTTGTATTGCACACCTTTAATTGTTCCCTTTTCTTCAAGCAGAGAAGTAACTGTTCCTTGCTCCAATTGCACGCTAAAGAAAATAAAAGAAAAGGGAAAGCATAACTACAAGGGAATAGAAAGTCTCCAAAGAAATGAAATATATTAAACAATAGCACGTGAAACTCGCCACTGAGTCAACAGGCAGAAACAAACAGTATAAAGGAAACCAACATTTGATTTGTATCAACCAAGGGAGAAAATGCATACTTGGGAAGAGTTGCAGCCTTCTCCCGCATCCTCTGTATGAAACGGCCATTGTGGAAGCTCCTTCCAGACACATCTGAGTGAAATTTCTCCAAGGGGTAAGAGAGTCTGGTATTTTTCCCGTCCTTGAAAAGGGCATAGCCAAACACCCGCTGAGCATCAATTTCCTCCACACAATCTGCAGTCAGATATAATTCAAAGTCCATTAACTAATGATTTCTGCTGTAATTCAGTTAATCAATTCCAACTAATTCACTATGAAACAGAAACTTGCTGCATAAACATATACATCTCCATGGTTAAAAAGTTTGAATGAGACTACCTTCTAGTCCCAGCTCAATTAATTTCAGGTAGCCTCCAGGTTGTAGTAGTTCACCAACAATTCGGTCTGGCTCTTGCAAGTCTCGTTCAATCACATGAACTCGACGTCCATCCTACAGCCCAAAGTAAGTTCATCAATTTCCAAAAGAAATAACTTGCACTAGAATCAAACCAGATAAAAGAAAACTAAGCAATTGCCATCTCCCTTTGGGCGTCTTCAGCTTTGATGTTTGTTTTTTGTTATTGAAAAAAAAACGCCCTGTTTCGACAATCTTCTACGGTATGGATACAATGTAAAAAAATTAAAAATTAAAAGTCAGGCACGAATATGAGCTTGAAAAATTAGGCTGCAAAGTACATCAAAGCTTAATTTCAATCCATGACCAACGTTGTAAGCTTGAATCTGGTCAGTAAGACAAAACCTCACAGAAGTGCAGGCCCTTGTAATTACAGGACTTAGTGGTAGTTGGTAACAGATGGATTACTTAGTCTACATTCTTTTCTTTTTGGTGGGAATAGTATGTCGTATTAGACTCTTCATATATAAGGAATATACTTTTGACAGCAACGCATTCTGTCCTTTACAATCCCCAGTCCTAGCTGGTCGACAATACAGGACATATAGTAGTTATTCAAACGTAATGTTTGAAACAATAATCTAAACAACAAATATAAAAGATTGCAGAAAGAGATATTCCTTTAGATTTGTACCTCTACCTGTACGAACTAGACTTTAACAGCACACTTGATCCAATCAAAAGGTCTTAGTATTATCAATTAAAATTGAACACATAGTCATTGATCATATGTATTTTAACTAGGCAACCACTTACAATTTTACCAAAGATCCTACCAGCATCTACAGGCAATAAGTTCATATATAAAGTTTTGACAGTAACTATGCGAGTGATGCAACAACCTCTTCGAAAACTATAAAATTATTAGAGACCATAACAGCAAATTGAAACCATGATCTTTGTTCATATTCTAGCATGATTATCAGAGATGATGTCAGATTAAGACATAAAGGTGTAAGCTACCTAGATAACATTTAAGCAGGTTTGTTTACTTGTTAAAGCTTAATTCAGAAGGTTATTAGAGTAATTCTGTATAATGTGTAGGTGTACATGGTGCCCGTGCTTGTGTGTCACTGTGTTTGTAATTAACCTTAATTTTATATTAAATCAAATCACTACCAGTTTTCAAGAGCGTCTGCTTTTTCTTTTTAACCTTTTCAAAAGAATTCAAGCGCGTGTGCCTCATCGCACACAGCAATCAGAATACCATTCTGATTCAAATCAACAAGAAATGAAAACAAATGTGTTTGTTTGCCGAGAAAATGAAACTCAGAGGCTCAAACGAAGCATATTCTCTCACCTTGCCGAGAGTGTGAGCCAGAGCGGCGCCGGCGACGCCTGCTCCGACGATTATAACGTCGACATCGCCGTCAGTAGATCTGCATTCTCCATTCGAGACCATGACGCTCTTCACGCACTCGCTTCTCTTCTCCACCAAAGCGCTGCGACGATCGTCGTTCCTCTTCACCAGCGTTCTGTACAGCGCCACGAGGCCCAGAACAGAGGCCAAGATCCATCCAAGCAAGTACTGCTCCGCCATTTCTCCTCCGAAAATGCGAACTCGATCGAAGCTCTCAGAGACTACAAGAGGACGAAACGACGACGCGTCTCTCTGTTTCTCACACTGTGTCTGTCTGTATTGGCTTTTTTCTTGATGCGTCTCTCTGTTTCTCACTCTGTGTCTGTCTGTATTGGCTTTTTTCTTGATGCGTCTCTCTGTTTCTCACTCTGTGTCTGTCTGTATTGGCTTTTTTCTTGATGCGTCTCTCTCGCACACACGCACACACACACACACTCTCTCTTCTCTTGAGTCTCTGGCTCTTCGCTGGCTCTTTGCCTTTTTTGAACGGTTATATGTTGTTGCAACGGTGCCACGATACGTGTGTTGGCAGGGCATGTTCACTTTTTATAGGACTCCGCGAGTCACAACGACAAGTATGTCACAGCTGTGCAATACGATGCGTTTGGTTGGATTTCTAACTTGTGCCACGTGAGTGTTCTTGCTTTAGCTCTGCGTATTGAACCCCAGGTTGACTGGTGCTTCACTATTATTCTAAGTTTTTATGTTTTTTTTATTTTATAATCACGTATTATTGAGGGGTGTACTCAATTAAGATTTTAAAAGAGTTTCAAAATTCACGTGTATTCAATTAAATATTTTAAAAGGGTTTGTACAAATTTAGGTGTATTCAATTCAGATTTCAATTGACTTTAAAAAAATACATCGAAATCTAGATGTATTCAATTATAATTTATGTGTATTCAAAAAATCATATATTTTGAAGTAATTAACAAGTTGTCCGATTTCATTAGAATTTAAAGTGGCAAATATAAATACAAAAGGCCTTAACAAATTTTATGTAAACCCTAGAAACTTTGAAAGTGTTTTACGCTTTCAAGTCTTTGAACGTGTACTTGTGAAATGGAGGTAAAAAATCTCATCTTTTTCTACTACGCTTTTATATATGTATGATCTCTCATCAGTAGTCTTCCAATAGTTGTTGTATATCATATATCATATATCTCAATATCGATAGTCTTTCTTTTTCCCAATGGTAGTTGTTGCTGTTACAAATAAAAGCTCCAATCTCTTCTCTTTGAATATTTGTTATTGTACATCATATATCAATGTAAAATAGCATCCCAATTATTTTTTATACGTTTCCTTCTTTTATTTTGGTTTATGTTAATTTTTATTTGTTTTTGTACGTTATATTATGTTATAGCCTTCTTTATCGATATACAGGCATCCTTTCTTCTTCTTCTTCTTCTTTTTTTCTGCCTTTTCTTTCTTTATTAGTTGTTTACAATGTTATATGTGCAATTCATTTTTATTTATTTTTTTGTCATTAATGGAGATGGAAGAAGTAGACGCAATACTATGAAAAGAAGAATCCGAGGAAGAAAAAGAAGAAAATAAAATGGATGACGAAGAATAAGAGAAACATTAGAAATTGTTGATGGCAACAAAAGCAATAGCTCAAGTGCTAAAAGAAAAAGGGGAAAAAAAGAAAATAACATTTTAGAACTTTAATCAACTCTTTAAAATCAAAATCAATCAAACTCCATTAAAATCAATCAAATTCTATGCGGAGTTGATAGAAATCAATTGAAATATATTGAACTCTATAAACTTTATAACTCCATTGAACAATTTTAAAATCATAATTGAATACACTAAAAAAAAATACAAGTAATTTGATTTCCTTTTGTTTTATAATATTTTTATTGTGTATTATTGGGAGTTGTAAGTTGAAAGTACAAATAATTATAAGGGAAAATTTTATCATACAATAATACGTAAATTATTTTAACAATTACGGGTTCATTTATCTCTTGTTGTATGGTAAAAGGATTATATTAAGAGTTTTTATCCATCGCCATTTGGTCTAGTAATATTCGATCTAAACTTTGGCAGTCTATTAAAAATAATAACAATTATTGATTATGTCAATAAAATAATCATCAAATTGTATGTCTAAGTCTATCTTAAAAAATAACAATTATTGATCATTTCAATAAAATAATCATCAAATTGTATCTTATGTGTATGTGATGTCTTATTCATTTAATTATTATTATTATTATTGTTATAGAAAAACTATTATTGGCACTCAAAATAGTTATTATGTACTATTTGATATGTAATTTCGATCTAATGAGATTAGGGAAGAAACTAGATGAATAAATTACTGGTTGAACTGTGAATAATTTGACCAAAATTTCGTCTTGGGTTTAGAACTTAGAGTCAAGGCTCTCACTTCGAACAGTTGTCAAACAAAAAGAAGGTCGGGGGACTCGAAAAAAATAAATATAATATTTAGGATACGAACGTATTATTATATAAAATCACGTGAATCCGATTTGTACAGTATATTATTCAAGAATAATTAAGCTGTCATGCTGGCATGGCATATGATCTAAAATGAATAATACTGTAATCTGATTGGTGGGCGCGTGACAAGCATTACATGTTTTTTTGGAACTTTAAGAAAGGATATTTGGGAAAAGAAAAAGTGTTGAAATTGGATCAAGAGACCAATATTATTATAATTCTTAGCCAAGAAAAGAAAAAAAAAAGATCAATATATTATAATTCTTAAACTCGTCACGCATTAACCTTCCGATTTAAGTGTTTAATATATAAATAGTCTCAAACAAGTCCTAAAGTTAGAAACATTGATTAATTTTTTGTGACAGTATATTTTATGCATGAGTTCTAGCTTTCACATTGATTTTTGGATGTTTTCATCCTTTCTTTTGTGTATTCTTATGGTTTTATCATAAAGCATCTTTACCCCAAAAAAAAGTACAATCAGGATTAATTTGCAAGATTAATGTAAATTATATACCAATATAATAGGAGGAGCAGTCGGACGAGCAAGGTCCAAGACTAAAGTGTACTCCGCCGCTGAAGAATTAGGCAGGCACACTCGTCCGTACGCCGTCAATAATAATGCAACAATAATTTATTTTTTATGAATTAATCAGTCAAAATGAGTAAGACATGATACAAAACCAATTGGCGGCATCAGAGTGTAGTTTGGGTTTGCCACTTGCATCGCATGTGTTAAGAAATATGTCCAAATTAACGGCTTCTAGTTATTAAATTGCCTAATGTAAAATCCCGCGCAACAATATACCAGTTTGACTCAAGATAAGTGAGCTTCACCATGGCTAGAAAACGTTTTTGGTCCATATAGCTATAAACTTTTGTTAATTTATTGTACGGAATCCGTCAATTTTAGTCTTTTATGTGCTGCTCGTGTGACATTTTTTTTTATAAAAAAAAAGGTTAATGACAAAAGGCACCCTGCTGGTTTGAGGTGGTTCTCAATATGGACCCCAGGATATTAATTTTATCAATTTACACCCTTATGTTTGCAACATCGTCTAATTTCATCATTCCATTAAGTTGACCGTGTAGTCAATCGTTAAATGTTGACGTGTCTACTGTAAGACCCACCTACTAACCAACTAGTTCCTAATAAAATGATAAAATCACGTACGTGCCTCAGCACCCGTACGATCTCGGTTGCGAAATCTGTCAGCTTAGTCAACTTCTCAAGTTTGCCGCCGCTGGAGAAGGCCTGGCTTGCCTGAGGTTGGCTCCATCTCTGTCAAATATGCATCTTTTTCACAGAAACAAAAAGAATATAAGGTTTAGGGAATTCAGGGTTTTTCTCACAATCAATCAAACAATGAATTCAATTTTTGAAAATTGAATAATCGTATTATTGGAAGAGGATGAAGGTTTAGGGATTGGTTTAGTGAGAGCAAAATCAAGTGGAGGTGTGGTTGCCTGGCAAGTGCTTTTAAAAGAGAGTTGCATATCTTAAAACTGTAGTGCGGGGAAGGAGGATGGTCAAAGCCAGAAGCCACGGTTGGTTTTTCGGTTTTTTAAGTTTTTTTATTTTTAAAATTATGTTATTTTATCATTTTATATAATTTTTTAAGAAATTGGTTGGTTAGTAGGTGAGTCCCACAGTAGACACATCAACATTTTACGATTAACCACACAGTCAACTTAACGGAATGATGAAATTGGACGATATTGCAAAAGTAGGGGTGTAAATTGATAAAATTAGGGTTGGGCATTTGGACCCGAAACCCGGCCAACCTGCCCAAACCAAACCGATTGGGTTGGTTTTTTTTTTTTTGTTTTTTTTTTTTTTGTTTTTTTCGGTTTGAACCTAAACCAAACCGAAATATATAGTTCGGTGTACGGTTTGCAATATTCAAAATCACGGTTTAACCAAACCAAACTGAAGATATTAAAAAATATTATATATAATATTATTATAAGAAATATATATATAATACATAGTTTCAATCTTTTCTTTTTCTTCTCTCTCAATCTCTCCGTTTGTCTTGTCTTCATCAGTCCTTCTCTCTCTATTTTTATTTTCTCATTCTTCTTATATATGTCTTCACGCCCTCTCCCCGTCTCCCTCTTCTTCTTCTCTCTCCTTTCTTTTTCTCATATTCTTCTTCTCCATCTCTCCCTATTTTTTTTCTTCTTCTTCTCATCTCCATTGCTTTTATTTCCTCTCTCTCTCTCTCTCTCTCTCTCTCTCTCTCAGAAAGCCAAAAAATCGAAACCGAACCAAACCAAACCACCAAGTCCGGTTAACCGAAGTGGTCGGTTTTCATCAATTATGGTTTGGTTTTGATTTTCAAAATAGCCAAACCGAAGCCTACAGTTCGGTGTTGGGTTGAGCCAAAAACCGAATCAACCCAAACCGAGCCCAGCCCTAGATAAAATTAATACTCTGGGGTCCATATTGAGAACCACCCCAAACCAGCAGGGTGTCTTTTGTCGTTAGCCCTAAAAAAATTAATGAAAATTAACAAATGTTGTATTCTATTATAACAAGACTTTGTAGCTCGATTGGTTAAGAGTACTTATTATGACATATGACGGGGTTCTTCCCCCTCTCAAATATCTCTTGTATATTAAAAGAAGAAATCATATTCTATCTAATATAATTTTTAAAAAATTTGTATTATTCTTAAAATTTACTAATGCCACGTCGTCATGCTATGCAAAATGAGTTTTTGAGCCCAATGCAAAAAGGGCCCAACGGGCCTGTTGGCAAATCCATTAAGGTAGAAACTCGACTGAGAAGCAGAAAATTAAAATTAAAAGGCGGGCGTAGCGGCATTAGCGGGAACTGATTTGCGGAAGGCGAAAGAAACGAACCAAACCAAAAAGGCAAGACGCGGTACAGCAAGCAACAGCAAAAATGGAATTTGAGTGCTCTACTCTGAGTCTCTGGAGAGAGGCCCTATCTTCTTACTCGTCTCGCATCCAATCACTCAACAAACCCAATTTGGTTTCTCTCGACGACTTTTACCGCACCAAGCTCCCTTCTCTCCTCCACCAACGAAACCCTAGCCCCTTCATCACCACCTCCGAGCTCTCTGACCTCATGCGCTGGAAGCTCACACGTGGCAAATGGCGGTACCTCTCTCTCTCTCTCTCTCTCTCTCTCTCTCCTTCAACATTTTTGTGCGTCTATATATCAATTTTGCTGTTATACTGAGGAGTGTGATAAACTTGTATGTAAAATTGTGGATTTGAGGCCGAGGCTGTTGGATTTCGTATCGGCTTTGGACGAGGCCGTGGTGAAATCGGCCTCCCAAAAGGCGTTTCAGGCTCTTCCTGATATCTCAAAGGCTATCTCTGAGCTCACGGTGCTCAAAGGGGTGGGTCCCGCCACCGCCTCTGCCGTTCTGGCAGCTTACGCTCCTGACGTGGCGCCCTTCATGTCCGACGAGGTGAATTAGCTTAGGGTTTTGAGTGTAGATTTTGGGTTTATTGTTTCTCATTTGAGTAATGTCTTTCTGGTTGATTTTCAAATTTAATTTGTGTTTGTTTGGTAACAGGCTATGGTTGCAGCTCTTGGCAACTCCAAAGACTATACACTCAAGCAATACCTGTTATTCGCAAATAAGTTACAGGAGAAAGCAAAGGTCAGTCAATTTCTTCAGCATTGGTGTAACTCGGAAAATTACTTGATGACTGCAATGCAAGCATATAACACATGCACATTTAGTGCCAATTAATATAGTGTAATACTGTATGTGGAACAAAAATCGTAGGGTGGGTGCGGTTGTATCATATGATGGATAGATGCGCAACCTCCCTCTCGCATCTACCCATCATATGATGTCGATGCGATTTGATGATTATGAGAGGGCACGCATACGCCCTGCCCAATTAAACTTTCTCAGGGCTGATTTTCATCCTCATGAGCATGAAAGCTGCTATCATTGTAATTCCAGCCCTTTTTTTTATGGTGATTGAGTGTAGCATGTCCATTTTTCCATACTAAATTAAATTATCATATTAAGTGTGCCAAATCTGTAAGTTGTGATAATTTTAGTTTGGCATGGGGTTAACAAGAATATTATCTAAACTAATGTCACATTATTTACTTTTCCATGGATTTTGCTGCCACTTTTAACTATCTGCTGGTGGAATGTATGCAGGAACTGACTGCCGAAGGGGAGAGCTTCACACCATCAGATGTAGAGAGGGCTTTGTGGAGTGGTGCTGTAGGAGCCAAGCTGCCATCTTCGCAATCAGATCCAGACCTCAAAACTGATAAAAGTAAAAATCCCAACAAGAGAAAGCGAAAGCGCTGATGTAGTGCTCTGCCATTTAACTGGCTTTGGAAATGCTTGTAAGTTCTACTAACTAACTTCAAAACTACATTAAAATGCTGTACAAGCAAGCATTTTATCAACTCTCATGAACAAAGCTTGTGCTTTGCATATGTTGTAACCTATCTCTGTAGCTTGTGTTTTGCATTTTGCAAACTATGAATCATTGACCCATATGAGTAAATATTGTCTGAATTTATTTTATTTTATCAGTTTCTGGGATCAAAAAACCCTAATTCAACGTAAACTAGAAGCCCATTTGAACTTTGGCCCTACCATTAGCAGTTTACTGGTAACATATCGTTTAAATGAAATTCTAGAGACTTTGTTGGTTTTGGTCTATGCTTAGTCAAAAAACTCTGCAATACGTTAAATTGGTCACCCCATCTCAAAGAAACGCGTTGAATAAAATTTGAAACACCCAATTGGAATGAAATCCATAAAAAAGCCAATTATCTTTTATAGTCTCTCCTATTTTATTGGGCCATCCAAATGCTTTGCCAAATCGTAAGGAGTTTCCCAAGCTCTCCTTTTGTCGTTTGCTTTCACATAACGGCCTTCCAATTCCAAGCTGTAATAAAATCTGCAAACGTGTCAACGCGCTATTTGTTTCCAGGTCGGTTCCTGTGCGGGCAACAAATCAGATAAAAATCCCCTTCCCCAAACTCCCTCAACGGCTTCAGACCCAAAAAAACCTCTCTCAACGGCCAACCCAACAACCCCCATAATCTACCAAAATGACAATTGTCTCGTCGGACAGGAAGTACCGGCGCAGCCCCAAAATTCCGCTCCTTCCCCAGAAGCACGACGACCATGACTCCGCCGAGGTCGGTTTCAACGGCGCGTCGTTTTCCGGAGCCGTCTTCAACATGTCGACGACAATCGTTGGAGCCGGGATTATGGCTCTGCCGGCGGTGGTTAAGCAGTTGGGCCTGATTCCGGGCCTAATTATGATCGTTTTGGGGGCTATGCTGACCGAGTCGTCCATCGACATGATCATGCGGTTCACGCGAGCTTCCAAGACAGCCTCGTATTCGGGTCTGGTCGGCGACGCTTTCGGTGGGCCCGGACGGACCCTCCTCCAGCTCTGCGTCGTCGTCAACAACTTGGGCATGCTCGTCGTCTACATGATCATCATCGGTATAGTTTCTGCTCAACAATACTTTTTATTTTTAATTTCTGGAGTTTATTTATTTTTTTGGTATAGGGTTTTTGGTCAACGAGGTTCAGACTTTGGGAGTTTAGCTGCTAAGCGACGTCGTATGTGCCCCAGCTTATATTTTGGGAAGGGGCTAATTTTGGAATTTTGGTGTTTCAGGGGATGTGCTGTCGGGGACTTGGTCGGAAGGAGTACGCCATTCAGGTGTAATAGAGGAATGGTTTGGTCAACGTTGGTGGACCGCACGATTTTCGTTGCTTCTTCTCACCACGCTCCTTGTTTTGGCTCCTCTTATTTCTTTCAAGCGCGTGGGTACATTCTCTACACCTCTCTCTCTGTTTTATTTTTTCTTGTTAATAATTACATATTTTGACAAATTGTAGTCGCAAAAAAGCTAGTTGCATTATATAATGTAGCCCAAGTTAGTAAATTGCTAGCCATTTTCTGGTCCTGCTTATATTGTCATATAAGCAGCTACAGTTCTGGCAATGAGCTTGCATTAGTTGTTTTGCTTGAACTATTGAAGACTCTGAACTTCCTCGAGTTATTTACGAATGAATGGAGGCAAGCGTTATTATGTATAATTAGGAAGAAGTGTTCATATGTTCCTAAGAGATGATATCCGATCAAATACCATGTAAATAGAGTTTCAGCTGTTGACTGGCATAACAATTATTGATTCAGTGACTGATTTCTGTACATATATATATATATATATAATCTTTTTGTGCTAGATTCGTTGAGATACACATCAGCATTGTCCGTTGCTTTGGCTGTTGTTTTCGTGGCAATAACAGCGGGAGTAGCGATCTTTAAGTTGATGGATGGAAGCGTTGCATTTCCACGTTTGATGCCCAAACTCGTTGACCAGGCATCATTTTGGAAGCTTTTCACTACCATTCCCATTCTAGTCACTGCCTATATCTGCCACCACAACAGTAAGTACTCCATATGCAAATAAGCCTGCTAGATTTCTTTTGTTTTTATAATAGAATTATTGTTAAGGAAATAATGCTTTGCAGTAATTTGAAGATGATATTAGTCCATTAAATTTGGTAATGAATACTAAGGGAGTGGTTAACAATGGTCATGTTACTTTATATTTTGCCCGTAAGATACAAACGACCACCATAATCATAGGCACTGATCTATCTCACGGCAAACTACTTACTTAGCGACTACGGTTCAAGCTTATCAAGTGACTCAGTGGATACACTTTGGTTCTAATTTCTACAACCATGGTGCATATTGTAATCTTAAATGGCATTTGATTGCTTAATACAAGGATGTGTATTCTATTAGCTGACTACTTTTCTAATGCACTTGCAGTTCACCCAATAGAGAACGAACTGATAGACCCTACCCAGATGAAGTCAATAGTGCGGACCTCACTTGCATTTTGCTCATCTGTTTACATTGCAACCAGCTTCTTTAGTTTCCTTCTCTTTGGGGATCACACGCTGGATGATGTGCTGGCAAATTTCGATGCTGATCTTGGAATTCCATATAGCTCATTTCTTGATGATATTGTTAGGGTTAGCTATGGCGTCCACCTGATGCTTGTTTTCCCCATTGTATTTTTCTCCCTTCGCCTCAATTTAGATGGTCTTCTCTTCCCCTTTGCCATTCCTATTGCATTTGACAATCGAAGATTCTACACAGTAACTGCAGCTCTCATGGGTTTTATTTTTCTTGGAGCCAATTTTGTGCCTAGCATCTGGGATGCCTTTCAGTTCACAGGTGCTACAGCTGCCATCTCCGTTGGTTTCATATTTCCTGCTGCCGTTGCGCTTAGGTAAGCAACGTTGACTATGATGAACTTGTTATAACAACATTGATAGAATGGCACGTCAGCTCACACACTTGAACAGAAGGACAAGCTAAAAATAAAAGGTTGCATTTAGCACTTGATGTTTTAATTGACTGAGAAGAAGCCTTCTCTGCTTTGACCTAAAAGCCATGCCTTCCTCCTCTGTCCTGTTATGCAGGGACACTCATGGAATTGCAACAAAGAAGGACAAACTAGTGTCATGGGTGATGATATTTTTAGCAGTCTCCTCAAGCACAGCGGCCATCTCCAGTGACATTTACAGCATTGTCAGTCGTGATAAACTCGCTGGAAGCTGACATACGAGAACAGCAAGATTTTCCATTCGTTTCATTTTAGAATTAGATTCCCCTTTTTTTTTCTTCCTTTTTTTCCATACTTCTTTATTCTCTTTAACTTTTTTTTTTTTTTTTTTTTTTTTTTTTTTTTTTGGAATAATAAGCCTACTAATCATTGATCATTAAGAAAATAAAGCGATTGCTTTATCATGTTGTTATGTGGAAAGATTAATTAGCTTAACCAGAGAGGTGTAAATAATGATTCTTAGTGGTCCCCACCAAACACCAAAGCTGTTTCGCATTACGTTGTTGTGGCATTATTCGACTCAAAGCTTTTCATCGGTTGGGATTGGATGATCATCTGTGCTTGCTTTTTGAACCTAGTTTACTGGGTCGTTTTCAATTTTTCTCAATTGTGACGATAGCATCCGAAACACACATGGCCTGCCCTTTTCCCTTTCTCTCCACCTGGCAGAACAGCTGTTCCTCTTGATCTCAATTCACCAAGACATGAAGATTGATCAGTTTGGTCGCATTTTTCACAACCTCAGAAGCTCTTATATTGTTTTCGTTCACTCTCATGGTTTCATGGTTTCTCTGCGCCAATAATATAAAATATACAGAAAAGCATAAATTATATGTTGCCCACAGAAAATTTTCTTTGGGATTGTTTATTTATCAATCTGACGTCTTGGTTGTTGTTGTGGAAATCATACAAGTCCATTTGCCTTTTGGTCGTCTTCAACAACTAAAATAAATATATAGCCGGGCCTTGTGTTTGTCTCCTCCTTGATTTATCCACGTGTATGATGTTATTGTTATTACTAGTTTGTCTCCTCGATTAGAAAAATACTTTCGCATCATGTTATATAGCTGGGCCAGTGTCGATTCTACAAAGGCTGATGTTTGGTTTTTCTCCTTCCAACTTGCGTATAAAAAGGGCGGGTACACTATCCTAACCTACATTTGCCTAACATTATTTAGAGGATTATAATTGTGGACATTATTTGAACAAGAGACAAACCATACTATTTTTGCCAGTTGCATTGCATCTTAACTCGGATAAAAGTAAAAACCCATATATTTGATGGAAGATTCCATGACAGATGGTTCTGCACGATAGAAAACGATGTTTGAAAGATTCAAAATTAGACGAAGTCATCCTGAGCCGGTAGGAAGGAGCTTTAGCAGAATGAGACAAACAAAAGTTTGGAGCATTTGGGAGCGGCTGGAATTTGGCCATGCCATGCCTACATTCACACCTGTTTTTTAATGTTCTGTTTATATTTGATTGAGATGTTCACGACGCTCTCTTTTTTCAAATTTACACAAACATTGCGTGTTAGTGTTAAGTAAGAAGGTGTTTGGCCCGTGGTCCGTACTGAAACTGTTGTTTGCATTACTAAAAAAGAAAAAAATTATTGTATACATCGGATGTTAACAAAAGTTACAAAACATAAATCATAATCACAGTTTCATTTATTATTGAACTGATAAAATATAGGGAGATTCACTATCATACCCAATATAGGAGCCTAAATTATAAAAAATAAAAATAAAAACATATATGAAATGAACTTTAGATACACATCTAAAGCTGATTTACAACATAAAAAAAAACCTTTTTACTTCTTTTAAATTACAAAACTACCATTGATTTCTTAAAACAAACCTAACTCCAAAACCTCATAAAAAAGCTCAAAAGACTCAATAGGGCATCAAAATAATTTAATAATCAAAATTAAATTCAATAGATTCAGCTGTCATTTTTTGTGCTTTTTTTTTTTTGCATGTTTATAAAAACTAAATGGTGTAGAGTTTATTTATAGTTTTAGTGCTAAAAATGAGTATATGACTAAATATCTCAAAAATATATATGCGCTAACCGAGTTGAAGCTAATGGAACACCCTCTCCCAATTATAGCTAAATGCATATGGCAGTCAACTAGGTTGGATTGGATCCTTGGCCTTAACAAAACCTCCCATCTTACTAGACACAATGAAATCTTGAGTATTTGACTTGTTTGCTATCTCATCCTTTTTGTGGTGAAAGCATAAAGGATTGTTGAACCTTATCCAACCAAAAAAAAAAGGATTGTTGAGAAATGGCATCATATCATCACACACACTAATGATGTGCCAATAATAGAAGAAGTGCCAAAAAAAAGTAAAAATTTGTGACTTGGATTATAATAGCAATGAATTTGTTTGAGAGGAATTTTATACATATCATTATAGTCGACAATGAACTTGAACTGTTTGGACATCCTCAAAAGTCATGAGTCACAATAGAAAAAAGAAACAACTCAGAGGGAATTACAAGACATGGACAGCATTACATCCAAACACAAAAACAAATCAGCACGTTTGCAACGCTTAATTGGATGATTTAAACCAATCAGAAAACGACATGTCAATTCGTGGTTGACACTTCGAATCTCATTTTTCCAGTGCAGCAAACAACCATTTATTCATTTTTTTCTATAAAAAAAATATAATTAGAAGTTTGAATATTTGACAAACCATTGAATTTGAATATATAAAACAATTTGACGAAACAGTCCAAAAGATATTTCTTGCAGTCGTAAGCTTTTAAAAGTTGATTTTGTTAAAACAAATGGGTTTTTTATATTATAATACTTGATTAATGATTGATTTATATAAAGCGCAGTGTTGGTTCGTGGTGACACGTCACATATATGATATCAAAACACAGAGATACAAGTTACATATCATATCATTGTGATATAACTAATGTTACTAATACAATTAATTATCAATTAACTAGAATATTAGTACTTGACTAGGAGCTATACTACTCTGAATTTGCTTTAAACCTGCCACGTGGACAGTCATTATGATCCCTAACGCATTTAATTATGGATTAAGTGCAGTGCTCTTTGATCGCACCTATCACCTAATCTTTGATTAGATTTAAAGAAAGAAAATGCCACATGGACCTACATGTCCTCCAACTTTTATAACTTTCTACTTTGTTTAATTCCTTGCTGAATTAAAACTTGTATTACTTTTTTTCTTCTTCAAAATTTTAAAAATAAAACAAAGAGGAAGAAATCAAAATCGAAAGCAATCACAGTGGAGCTGTCATCCACAATTAAAAGTTATATTATCATTGCTATTCCAAAGCCAATTTCGCCCTTTAAGTATCATTAGTTGTATAATACAATACTAATTCAGTCATTAGTGTCCTAATGCATGACATATATTTCTGTGAAATTTTATAACCAAACCGTGCGACCTAACATTATTGTTTTTCAAGAAACATGTTATGATTTAAATTGTAAAAGTGAAATAAAATGCGTACGTGCAAAAGATTTATAGTTCAGATAATGCATGTACTCGAAATTCTATGTTCGAGTATCACTCACTGGTATTAAAAAATAACACAAAATAAATACAATGCTTATTCTGTAATGGGACTGTAAATAATTTGGTTGGTGTAATAAGTTACGAATCTCGCTCACGTAATGTTACGTGCATCTGGTTTCATTGCATGGGTTTAAAAATTTCATCTATAAAAAAATAAAAACGATGGAACGTTTTTCATATGAAGTGGGTGGGATGACGTGGCAAGTAGCCGGGAATTACGCACAGAGAGCTGTGGGCAGGCCAGTCACTGCCGGCTGTGGTGGGCACCCAGTTATGACCGAGGACCACCGCCATTCCACGTGTCTCCTCTTCCGGCCATCGTGGCACACACTTTATGAAAACCTGGTCGTCACGTGCGGTTTGTGATCCTAACTCATCGATCTCATGTGTCAAGATCGACGGTCCATGTTATACCTCCCAAGAATCGACGGACCATTTGTTTTACAGTTTTTACTCCTCGTCCTTGTCTCAATATTACTAGGAAAAGGGTCTATTCTTGTCAGTGGAACAAAAAGACAGTTTTAACCCTTATCCTGTATGTATGCACTCTGTCCCAGTCATCTCCTGCCAGACATTTTTTCAAATTTTTTTTTTTATGAAGGAGTTTTTGAATTTTGAAAAATGGCTCGCTGCTCTCACTTTACTGACATGCCTACGCCACGAGATTTGTTACTGTGCGGCGCGTCAGCATAGGAGCACCACCGTAACAGCCTGGTGCTCAGTAATATTTACCCGCAATTATCCCCCGTTCATAAACTGAAAGTTGTCGGTGGGTAGCGAGGAGGCGAGGGTAATTTAGACCATTTGTATTATCGTATGTTGTCCTATCGATTATAATTTTTTATGGCGCGTCAGACACTAGTGAACTCGCAAGCAGAGGGCGCGTCGTAAATCATGTTTATAGAATAATTTTGCATTAGTTGGATTAATCAACATATTAAACCTCTCGATTTTCCCTTGTTTAGTTTTTTTTTTGGACAAACGATTAGATAATACAATATACTTTTACAATTGGCTAATACACCAACAATAAGACTAAACTACCACTATTAATGTATCGAACTCATCACAAATATATATCGTTATCGTCATTCATATGAGTTATCATTTAATTAAATGAAGACAAATATCACTAAATCAAAGGCTAATTGATGTTTCGTGAAGTTTCTTTAATAGACTATGGAATCATAAAGAAAAGAATGAATCAACTTCAAGTAACAAAATAAATATTTATAGATTATGTTAAAGTGAGCTTAGTTGATCATTGTAATAAAGTTAACATAACTTCGTTTAATTGTATAAAATCAGACCGCCATACCCTCTTTTGCATGTCATTTGTCATGCAAAATTTGAAACTCACTGCTGAAAAATAAATGTCATATCAATTTTGGTATATCATGTTTACCACCTTCAAAAAATACTCATTAACAACCGGCTAAATATGATGATTTATTTACTAAGATACGAGAGTCGTTGAAGTATTTATCTTTCTGAACCATGATTCATAATAAATTATTTTGAATTCTCATTAATTATGCAGCGGTGCCTCCACTATTGCTCATCACCTTACCATTTTGAAATTGATGCTATTTTTATGAAGAAACCAAAATACAATCTAGTCGGTAGTGTGATGCACGCTCTTGTCGGCACGTGGATGATGTCCAAAAGCAGTGTCCCTAACTAAACCAGCTCATTTGAAGCTTCGAATTAGCGAGACTGGTCTGGAGGGACGTGGTCATTCCCTCCTCTTGGTCCAACAAAATTCTAACAACATCCATTACTCAGTAAATAAAACTAAAAAATAATTATTAAGAAACTGAAAGCAAAACCAAAATGAAAACCTTCTTATTTTTTTCACTTTTGTCGCATCAAAGACGCACTTGGTGGTGGTGGTGGTTAGATGGTCACCCTGTCTTTCTCGTTGAACTTTCGTCTGTTTATTTTTATTGTTACTATTCACTTATTATAATTTCCATTTCCTAAGACTTGAAAAAGTAAAAAGAGAAATGGTAAAAGAAGTTTGGGTTTTTTCATTCACACGAGAAGCAGCAGCGACCCAGATGGAATTGGAAGCACGAGCGAGGCATCTGATATCCCTCTTCCACGCGGGAAAATCTCTGTAAATTCTCATATACCCTTTTGTGAATTGCAGATTGTAACCCCACAGAAAAAAGAAAAAGAAAAAGATGGGTCTGGGTCTTTTCTTTTTGGTTGTGAGAAGGAAAAGTCTAGGGCTAGGGCTTACGTTGTTGGTTGTTGCGGATTTTATCATCGTTTGAAAAGAGTAGGTGAAGAAGGAAAAACCCCAATAAAAACGTAAAAACAAAAAAAGAGTAAAGGCACAAACTTTGTCTGTCATTGTCGGAAATCTGCGCATTTTCTTCCTTCCCTTTATCTGAATTTGTATTTGGGTTCTGTTTGTGAAACCCAAATTAGCTATTAATCCATGATTGTTGTGATTTTCTTTCTTTCCAAATCAGCTGGGGGTTAACGTTCTGTGGTTTGGTGAATTTAGAAAGAAAATCTGGCGGTGTTATGGTGAAAAAATATCAGTTTCAAAAAGGCTTTGTGATTTTGACTCGAGAACGTGGGTTCGTATGAATATTTTGATTTAGTTTTTGTCAAGTTTTTCTCTCTCTCCTCCCCTCTTTGATTTAATTATTTATTCCGAATCAAAATCAAAGACGTGTTGAGCTGTTACCATCTCTCTCTCTCTCTTCTCTTTCTCTTTCTCTTTCTCGTTGCTCTTCTATTGCTTCCGAGGCCTCTTTTGCAAGCTGTAATTGAATGGTAGCACATTTGGCCTCAAGCCCCACACAGTCATAACCTTTGTTTGTCTCTCTCTCTCTCTCTCTCTCTGTGGAAATCACTTGTCTTATAACTTGTCACCGAATGTCACAATGATTTAGAGACGCCTTGCTCTGCTTTATCAACCACGCGTCCATCTTCATCTCTCTCACTCTCTCTCTCTGACAATGAGATCAAAGCTCTAGCCTTTTTCTGCCTGCTGGGTCTCTTCATATTCAAGCGGTCGAAAGGGGTTTTGGCTCTACCGAGAAGAAAATAGAGAAAAAACGTTCCATTTCTCAGCTGGGTTCTTGAGATCAGACCCCAGAAACCGGAAATGGCACCCTCCTTCAGCTGGTGGTCTAACAAAGACACCCACCGAGGCACACCCGTGGTGGTCAAGATGGAGAACCCAAACTGGTCCATGGTTGAGCTCGAAGGTCCTTCTGAGGAGGACTTCCTCATCTCTGAGTCACCGGGTCGAGTTCGAGGCAAAAACGCCAAGCAGTTCACTTGGGTCCTCCTCCTCAAAGCTCACAGAGCCGCCGGTTGCTTAACCTCTCTCGGCTCCGCAATGTTGGGCCTTGCCTCCGCAATACGACGCCGTGTGGCCTCGGGTCGGACGGACACCGACACCGACGTCGAGCCCATCGGCCGCGGCAGAGCAGTCGAGAACCCAGCCGTAAGGTGCAGGTTCTATTTCTGCATCAAGATGTTTCTGTGGCTGTCTCTGATTTTGTTGGGTTTTGAGGTGGCTGCTTATTTTAAAGGTTGGCACTTTGGTTCACCGCATCTTCAGCTTGAGTACTTGTGGGCTTCACCAATGGGGGTGAAGGGAGTGTTTGATTGGGTCTATTCGAAGTGGGTTTTGATTCGTGTGGAGTATCTTGCTCCTCCACTTCAGTTCTTAACCACTGCCTGCATTGTGCTTTTCATGATTCAGAGCTTGGATAGACTAATCCTCTGTTTGGGGTGTTTCTGGATCCGGTTCAAGAAGATCAAACCAGTCCCAAAAGAAGGTGCTTTTGATCCTGAATCTGGGGAGACTGGTTATTTCCCTATGGTTCTTGTTCAGATCCCCATGTGCAATGAAAAGGAGGTAAATTAAGCTCACTTATAGCTCTTATGGTTTGTGTTAGTTACGCTTACTTTGCTGGTAGAGATATCTTTTGTTTTTGTTCTTTTGCTTTTGCTTTTGGCTGACTGTAGAGTTTGAAAATCAGGTTTATCAGCAATCAATTGCTGCTGTGTGCAATTTGGACTGGCCGAAATCGAAGCTGTTGATTCAAATTCTTGACGATTCTGACGACCCAACAACCCAATTTCTGATCAAAGAGGATGTCCATAAGTGGCAGCAAGAAGGAGCCAACATTTTGTATCGGCATCGAGTGATCAGAGATGGATACAAGGCTGGTAATCTCAAGTCTGCAATGAATTGTAGTTATGTCAAAGACTATGAATTTGTGGCCATTTTCGATGCCGATTTTCAGCCCACCCCTGACTTCCTTAAGAGAACAGTCCCTCACTTCAAGGTACGTAATTGTTAATTGTGTTGTTATGGTTTGTTGTCTTTGTTGGGTTGTAATAGTCTCTGTGATCGAACTACATTATCATGTAGTCCATGCTTTTAATGAGAAGATGCTGTTAATTATTATTGTTAAGCGAACCACGATTACTAGAATCAGTTGAATTAAAATTTTACCCTTTGTTGGCTTTTCAGGATAATGATGACCTAGGGCTGGTTCAGGCTAGGTGGTCCTTTGTGAACAAAGATGAGAACCTACTAACAAGGCTGCAGAACATTAATTTGTCATTCCACTTTGAGGTAGAGCAGCAAGTGAATAGCGTGTTCATTAATTTCTTTGGGTTCAATGGGACAGCTGGTGTGTGGAGGATACAGGCTTTGGAGGAAGCTGGTGGGTGGTTGGAGAGGACCACTGTGGAGGACATGGACATTGCTGTCCGTGCCCATCTTCATGGATGGAAATTCATTTTTCTCAATGATGTTGAGGTACAATTTTGTCCCAAATTATGTCTGTTAAAAGTGAGTTTACTCTGTTTCAGTAGTGGACTAATGGTTAGTGCTATCTCTGTGCTCAGTGCCAGTGTGAACTACCAGAATCTTATGAAGCTTATCGGAAACAACAGCACAGATGGCACTCGGGGCCTATGCAGTTGTTTCGCCTCTGTTTGCCTGATATCGTAAAATCCAAGGTATATATACTTTTTGCACTACTTGTTCCTTGTCCAATTAGGCCTGTTTTGCTGTTTGTTCAGAAAGGTATTGTGGATTATAGTTCACTAATATGTTTCGTATACTTTGCTTGTCACAGATCAGCATTGGCAAGAAATTCAATTTGATCTTTCTCTTCTTTCTGCTCCGGAAACTGATATTGCCCTTCTATTCTTTTACCCTTTTTTGCATAATTCTCCCCATGACAATGTTCATCCCAGAGGCTGAGCTACCAGCATGGGTTGTATGTTACATCCCAGCTACCATGTCATTTCTCAACATCCTCCCTGCCCCAAAAGCCTTTCCTTTCATTGTTCCTTACCTTCTCTTTGAGAACACCATGTCTGTGACCAAGTTTAATGCTATGATATCCGGCCTGTTCCAGCTTGGTAGTGCATACGAGTGGGTTGTGACTAAGAAATCCGGTCGTTCCTCAGAAGGTGATCTTGCCTCCTTAGTTGAGAAAGAGCCAAAGCATCAAAGGGGGGTGTCAGTGCCGGATCTTGTCGAAATGAAGGAAGAAATTAGACAGCAGGAGCAAAGGGCTTCCAGGAAGAAGAAGCATAACAGAATATATACAAAGGAGCTGGCATTGGCTTTTCTTCTTCTAACGGCTTCAGCAAGGAGCCTTCTGTCTGCTCAGGGCATCCACTTCTACTTCTTGTTGTTTCAGGGGATATCGTTCCTGCTGGTTGGTTTAGACCTAATTGGTGAGCAGGTGGAGTGAAGAGAAAGTAATAAACTTTGTAGGGATATATGGATGATCTAAAGTAGACAGACAACATGGGTGGTAAAACCTATCAAAGTAGAACCCAGAAAGAAGAGTCTGGAAAAGAAGGTTGTAGAGGGCTGAGACTGAGAGTACTCTCCTTCTTGCTTGTCCTCCACCCTCCAGACTTCCCCATCACATACCACCTTGAAGGAGAATAGTTTGTGCTATATGGAGAAAGGATGTCATCTTGGTCAAACGCAGATGGTACTCAGAAACACAGATGCCCTTATTAAATGTTTTGGTTATTTTTTCTATTTATTTTGATTCTTTTGTTTGTAGTCAATTCTTTTGTAAGAAAATTTGTCCTTAAAACATCAAACACAACTTCTTTACAGTTTCAAGGCCATCTTCTTGATGCTCTTCTTGATGCTTTTTTCTGTCACCTGATCAAGTATAGCCTAAATCCTATAGGTTTCTTCTCTTTTTTGTTGAATTTTTGTAATGTCAGAAATGGAAACAACTCCTCATAAGGTTGAGGTTCTTGGATGCTTAAAAAGTTGGAATGAGCTCTTCTATTACATGTTCAGCTCATCCAGCAGTGGGTTCTTTTGGCACAACACCAACCGGATAACAAGTTTTAAATAATATATAATGAGTAAAAGTCTGATATGCTTTGCCCAGATAAAAGATTTTCAGATGTCAAAACTCAAAAGTACTCAAAACAATTAGGTAATTGTGATATCCTACTTCAATTCTGTCACCTGTGAAAACAATCACGACAACAACTCATACTTACATGATTTATGATAAGTGTATTCCAACCATTTTTCTTTTGGTTTTGAAGATTTGAGACAGACTTCATATACACAACTTCAAGACGATAGGATCTTCTCTTAATTCCCAATTCATGATAAGTAGAGAAATGACTGAAACACGGTTAAAGGATCAAAACCAACCAAGAGAGATGGGCAAGTGAGCTGTCTGTTTCTTCAAGATGTGAAGAATTTTTTTCTTAGGTAAAAAGCTAGAAGCTAGAAGAAACGTGATGGGCTGCGCAATAATAATGAACCTTAGACTCGGACGATATAAGATGATGACCAGACCTGACGTGTTAATTGGTGTTGTGCTGGTTCTTACCATGAAACTGCAGCTGTATCGCATCGCAATCCCACAACCCACGAGAGAGAGAGAGAGAGAGAGAGAGAGAGAGCACAGATAGAGTTGCTTGCTTGCTGCTTCGTCAACTGGTTTTGATATCATCTTATTGCAGAAGAAGCATCAATCTCTTTACTTGTATGGAAAAGAAACTGACTTGTTTTTGTTCTTGTTTGTGTGAATATTTGGTTTGCATGTAAAACTGGGAAGAAGGAAGTTTCACTTGAAACAGGACTTGAAGCTAACAAGATTGCTTTGCTTTTATCTGATAATTCACAAATATCTAGCAAAATAGATAAAGTTTTTTTTCTTTTTGATGGGAAAAAGTAAAAGTTTTGGACCCAATGAAATTGAAACTACTGTTGTCTTGTTTTGTTTTTGGTCTCAATTCGCTGGTGGGGTACCTTTAGTCTTTTCACTCTTCAAAAGGGCATTAAATCAACAACTAAAACCGACTTGGAGAAACATAACTCATAATTTATTGCAATAAAATGGAGATTTTTCTGAGGAAGTTACATGAATATCAAAACAATCTGTTAATCCACATCTATTTTCTTATCATGATGCACTCTACAAGAAAATAAAAACATTTCTTTCACAGTTTCTTCCCCAAAAACCCTCAGAAAACTTCAAGCATAGTCCTATTCTACAAACACCAATATCAAAGTTACAAACAATCATCTTCACCAATCAAAGTCTTGCCTTCCTTGTCTGATTATACACAATTTTTTTTTTTTGTAATATAACAAAGTCATCTTCTTCTGCTAAAAATTCGAAGAACAAACAATTAGGAACTGAGAGCCTATACAACTGAAAAACCTTCTTTTGTTTCCTTTTTTTTTTCTTCCAGTTTTTTTCTTCTTCTCTAACTGAGTCAAATACAGTTAACTGAAAATTTGAATTATCCGTTGCGGGGGAGTAGACCTTAATATCTGTTCCAAACTTATAGCTCTGATTTCAAGCGGCCTGCTGAAAATGATAGCATGTTAAGGTTAGAAGAATGTGAGACATAAATTTCCAGTGATTGCATGCATGAAGTTGTGTTACTTACCGTTTTGTCCCAAATTGTCAATAGCTGAACTAGAATCAAAACCCATATGGAAAAGACCTTGGAGCTCACTGTCTAACACAGTCTGAAAAACCGCACATATTATTAAATCAACAGATGTTTTTGACAATCGAAAGGATGATAATGGCATGATTTGAAGATTCTCAAATTACCTGAGGCAAGGAAGGAAATTGTGGAGCTGAACTTGGCATACTTGGCAAGTTTCCTGGGAACATACCATGAGGGTATGGGTGAGAAGAGCTGATTCCAGGACTATACCCGAAGATAGCTCCACTGCCACTTCGTGAGTTAAGAATCTACAAACAAAGGCAAACCAAGCTCAAGTTTAACACATTTACCCGATAGTATTGAAGCAAATGACAAAATTATCGACTAGTAACTAGGGTGAACTCACATCTTTGGATAGAATCCGTTCTATGTCGATGTTGAGTTCTGGATTGACTGTCGCGAGTTTCATGGATAAAAACTGGAACAGGAAAGAAAGACAACCTTCACTGAATCATAGAACATTTAGGAGCTACAAACCATGCTACTAATACTTTACAATTATGCACATGGTTCTCTAACTTCAGCTGCTGTAGTTCTGTTCAACTAGCAGAAGTTGCAGTGCGCCTATACATGTATGACTACACAGATATATTTTAATTTACAAAACATGGAGCTAATTCCTCATTTTAGATTGCAGAATATCTTACCTCAACTTGCTGTTGCAGAGATTGCACATAGTTGATGATCTCATCAAGCATTACAGCCTTCCCAGTAATCTTGAAAATTGATTGGTTATCTAATTGATCAGTATTTTATATAACATAAAGAGATCATTCAGAACATTGACCAACTCTGAAATTCTGAATACCTTATTGCATCCTGGAACAAGTTCTTGAAGCAATCTCATCCGCTCACTAATCTTTTCTCTTCTAACCTGCAAGCAGAAACTTTTATTGCATCAATAAACTAAAGAATAGGAGATTTTCTTGAAATTTGATACACAGATATATAGTAATGAGAACATACCCTTTCGGCGAGGCTATGACTATTTGTAGCCTGACCCCTTCTGGCTCTAACATGAATGTAACTGTCCTTTGGATCTCCGCTCTGAGAACTTTCTTTAGCCTGTTTGCCCATCTGCTTACCGCGCAAATTTGCAGCTGTGTTGTCTTCACCTTTTGCTTTTTTCTCATCTTGTTCTTTCAGATAATCAGAGCTCTCCCCAGACAGATCCTTGTTAATTTCCCCTTCAGCATTCTAGTACATATAACAAAGCAATTATGATCACTAGGGCACTGTATTGAAGGGAAACAGAATCATCAATATCCCAATTGATACAAATTGAACATAGCTCAATTTACCTTATTTGGACTGAATGCAGAATTGGATTCAGGAACTCGTTTCCTTCTCTTTCCATTGGGTGAAGATCCTAAAGCACCCTCTTCCGAAATTTGGTGATCATCATGAGATTGGGCACCAATTGTTGAAGTCCTCTCAGTACCCCCCTCCCTGTTTGGGTTATAGTTTGCAACACACCCAGGGTTTGCAATCTGAGCACACTCAGATAGGCCAAAAGAACCAACCATTTCTGAGAAACTCCCACTTCCAAAACATGGAAGCTTTGGCACCATTTCGACATAGCTTGAATCAGATGGATATTGAACAAGGTGAGAGGTGCTACTCATTCCCGGATTTTCCAATGCAACGGAGTAAGGAGGATTGGAAAATTCTCTGTGAGAAACGACTGAAGAACCTCCAAAATTATCACTCTGACTCAATGAAACAATTGGATCCCAACCAGCACCAAAAAAAGGGTCAGCTCCATTTGAAGGCTTAAACATGGATACTGAGCTCATTGTCATTTGTGAAACCTTTTCAGGCAGTGGATTTGTGCTCATCCCTGAAGATGGGCAATTCAGACTTCCCTCATTTCTATGTTGAAACCCCCCATCCTCACTGTCATGACCACCCATTTCTGAATTCAGAAGCTTATGGCGTCCCCCTATATATTATTCAAATGACAACACCCCACTTAACAGTTGGCGAAGACCAGGACTACGAATAGATAATGAAACACAAGAAATCTATGAAACTAAAGGCAAAGTGGGTGGCTTTGACCAAAATTGACTGGTGATATCTTGCAGACTCGACAAGGAACAAGTAACCTTTGCAGCTTTATAGACCTGAGAGGGTGCTAAAGTAACAACAGATGCCTCTCGTTGCAGAATCCCATGGACACAAAGTGAAAGGATAAATCCAGTGCATCAGGCATAAAATCTTATATGGTACCAGCTACTCTCCTCTTCCTTTCAAAAACCCTAGGATCAAGCTTACTCTAGTGCAGAGAAGGAAAAAATATAAAATAGAAGAAAATGCTCCCCACAGACAAGAAAAGTGAACCTTTCAGAGCATAAAGTAGACATAGACAAACAATGACATTAGCTAAGTAACAGCTCACCAGAGTAACAAAAAGAAAGCAGATTCCCTTTTTCTCTTTTGTATAGGGGCGAACTAAAATTTCATACCCTCAACTCAATCAAACATCAATCTGATTGATGGAAAGCGGTTCTGAATCTCTTCAACTATGACCAAAATTGGGGAGAATCACTCCAAGCTTCAAGCAATGAATGATTATAATAAAAAATATGGTTGCCAGTTACTAATAATAAGGAAATAACAACCAGCTGAAGTTTTGAATAAAAAAGACCCAGAACCAAGAAAAAGGAAAGTTACAGAACCCCTTTTGAGATATTCTCAGATGGGTACCCAAGAAAGACCAAAAGGCATCAAATTCTACTTGAATTGTGCAAGAGCTGAAATGGACAGGGTTTTGGGTTTTTGATTGTACCTTCAAAAGCATCAAATGCTTGGTTAAATTCGACGAGAAAAACCCAATTCACCAATTGGGTACTTACAAAAACAGCAAAGGAAGCATCAAGTTCCAACCTTTATAGATCAAAAACAATGCAGAGAGCTATGGAGCTAGAAAGAGACATAGAAAGAGTGAGACTTCGCTTACCTGCTCAAGTTAACAGGTGACATGTATGATTTTAAAAGACCAGACTAACTACTGCCAACTGCTCTTGTTGGAAAATTATTACAGAACCTAATCTCTTTCCCTTCCACACTTTACTCTTTGTAATTTCTCCTCTCTACTTTGAACTTTCTTTCTTTACAATTTATCAATTATAATAATGGCTCCCCCTGTATTTTCTTTCATTTAAAATTGAAGAGGTTCTTCTCTTCAAGGCCAAGCTTTGCTTGCTTCCATCTTTGACATACTTTTTTTTACTGACACATTTGCCAACTATTCTAACAGACCTCTCTTTGCTGTTACACACTCATTTTTCTCAGTGCCAACTAACCCCCTTTCATTTCTTTTGAGAAGGCTCATTATGCTCCTAACCTCCATCATCCTCCATCTACATCATTGCACATCACTGTAATTCACTGGGGCCCATACAAAATCTTCCTTGTGCACCATTAGATTCCTGATTAGTATATGTCTTCCCTGTCAAAGATGCCTTCCACTTGTTCACTTGGTGGGCCCCACTTGACAGGTGTATGTCTATCAAGGGACCACAATGAGAGTGTAGGCTGTGGTTGCATAACAGGGATTGGCACCTCAATTTCCTTCAAGTAATTTAATATTAGTTGGCAGTACTTGTAATCTTTTTCTTTTTAACTTTGGAGGGGTTTGAGTCTCTGACCCTCAGGAACATAAGGAATAATGGAATCTAATCATCAATTTACCTCCTTGTCCTGGTACGGTTTCCAGCTGTAGTATATTATTGTGTGTTATGCTTTGCCCTCAGCCAATTAGCCAACAAACCTGGTCAAACCAAATTATCTGGTCAACCCTCCTAGGCCTGGTTGTGATCTTGCTGGAAAAACCAAAAATTATTCCGAAAATAGCGGCTAATTTGCTCCGAGGTCATTATCTGGTGTGACACACTACATCCTATAAATGGGTCATTAAATATTGTTTAGTAAATAATTTAAGTGGGGTTTTTAATCTCTGTTTAGTGAATGAGGGACCCACAATAAGGACTACAAATCAAATAAAAATAGGTAGATACGATGATAGGGATGGTACACCTAACTTGATCAGTGATCAATGTGGGTACTCACTACTCACAATGGATCATACCCCTCGCCTCATTTCAAAGTGGTAGTAGGGCTAGAACAATGCACCTCTCAAGACAAAAAAACTTATGTGAAACGAGGATAATAGTGATTGGCAGTGATAGACTGTCACGTGAAACAATAATCACAAATAGCATACTATGATTAATTGAGAATAGAAGAACAGTATTATTCTTATTTTACACAAGTATTTCTCCTCTCGATCAAAATATTGGCTCTCAATTTTTTTTTATTTTTTATTTTCTGGGTTTGAAAGGGGTTTTGTTTGCATATTGAAATTGAAAAGATAAACAGTAATTGGGGTGATCAAAGTAGGTTTTGATGGGTAGAAAGTGATAAATTATGCTCAAAATTGACTTTGTGTTATTGATAAAATGTATCCAAAACCATGAACATGATACATTACAATAATCTGAGTAAAGCTTTATTCTTTAATCTAATCAATGTTTTCCTCTGACAATAAAAATAAAAATAAAGCTTTCATATAGTTTGGCCAGCTCTACTTCAAGCTAAACAAAGCCACATATGTGATTCAATTCAGCCAACTTCCTCATAAAAATGTTTCAAACTCCAAAACCCCACAAAGAATTCATTCATTTTTCCTTATAAAAGAAAATGGAATCGATTATAATATAAACCAAAATAATTCAGGTAGGATTATTGACCCAGCTACATTGGTGGTGGTCCTTTCAGAGTATAAGAGGGCAGGTTAGATCCCAATAATGCTGCATGTGTTAAACATCAGTGAACTGTATCCGAAACTGTTCATAAATAAGTAAAGTAAACAACAAACCACCATAATTAAGTGTTTTTTTTAAAGATAATTAACATATAATTACGTTAATAATAAAGCATAAGCCACAAAGACTAAGGAGGAAAAGAGAGAGTCTTATCACGCGTGCAGGGCATGGCATTGAAGCTTCAGGTGGGTCTTAATCTTAATCCAAGAGACATATATGTGTGGTCCTACCCTGATTAGCAATGATGGGGTTGATACCTAAGACTAAGAGACACACGAATCTTATAAGATTTTTATTAGCCCCATCAAACTCAAATTCTCTTTAATTAAATAACTTCTAATCTTTGCTTTAACATACTTCCCAGCCCATGCTTGAAAGATTTATACTTTTAAAGAAGCTTTTTCCTTCTTTACCAAAACAAAAAAGTTGCCACCCCGCCTTTTTCCAGTTGCACAAAGCTCTACTTATTGCATGCAACGAACCTGTAGCTTAAGTACTTAAGAACATATTTTCAGCATCTAAGATATCCTAAGTTTGATTTCCCCTCAACCTATCTGCAATAGATGAGTAACCTTTGTAATTATTATTTTAATGGGTGGTTGGAGTTTGAATAAACACAGTACAGCTACAACTCATGAAGAACAGATTAAACAAAGAGCACATGATTAGTAAAACTCAGTCCATGATGGAGTGTAGAGATATTAAATCACATTCAAATTAAGAATTCTCAAAACTCTCCATATCTTCCAATGAAAATTATCAAAGCATGCGCAAGAGGAGAAGTAATCATCATCCTGATTTAGCTATGATGCATGCATGCCTTGGTCTTTACAATCATTTTAAATGTTTCTACAAACAGAGAGAGAAAAAAAGCTTCTATTGTGCCTCACTGAAAATGGGGTACATCTTTTGTGTATGGAAGTACTAAAATTAGACCAAATGAGGGACAAATTAAACTAGCTGCAGGATAATGAAATGATGGGTTTATTTTACTTAATATTTTTCCCAATTTCAAGATTTTGGGAAAAAGAAAATCAAGGGGCATATGAATCTTGCATTGACCCTGCTGGCCAAAGATTCATGCATTGAACATAATGATGAACTGAGAAGCTAAGCTGAGCAAAACTGGTACCTCTCAGCTTCTGCTTCTGCAGGTTACTGAATTAAGACCTGCCAGCAGATTTTATTCTTCTCAAAAGCACGAAGTGTCTTTTCTGTCAAGGAAAAAATGTATACGAAGTCCATGAAAACATAATGTAACGTATAGATTGTTATCTATCAGGAGAGCTCTGTAGCTCTAGGTCTTGGTCTTGACTCTTTTCATGTCTCTAAATTTATATTCCCCATGTGAATTATGGAATATCACAAGTCGTGACAGATAAACAGATAGAATATATGTATCACCTTTTTTACTGGCTTTACCTGCACATATTGTGCTAAGATGCCCCCATTGCTTCATTTGGTTGAACTACAACCAAAATTCTACTGAGAGATTCATCCTGTTCTTTCCTAAAGACTGTCATAGAGTTTCCTTTTTGTTTTATAATTTAATGGGATTTTCTTGCAATTTCACATATTCGTAGAAAAAAAGTTGCCAAATGTCCATATACAAATCCAGCCTTTTATTTTCTTTTATAAAATTTTCATGAATATAAACACATAAACACACCACCACCTTATGTATAATGAATGTATGGATCCGACTTCTCTACTTGTGTGTAACACTACTTGTATTGTGTTTACGTATAGAATTATGTCGTTTTACTTCATAATTCGGACCATAGTTGTGGGCCAGTTGTTTAACAGTCATCAGAAACAAAGCCCTTACTTTCATATGACAGCCCAATCTATAGGGCTCTGAGAATGACTTCTAAATCGACCCAGGTCATATCATTGGAGCTGGGGAGCTGAAGTAATTTAGTTTAGCCCAATCTTACGACTGAGTGCCTGACCCAGAAAAAAAGAAGAAAGGAAGGAGGGCCGGCTCTCAAGATTTGTAGCCATTAGAGTAGGTCTAGACCTTGGTTTTCTTGGGTCTAATGGGCCTCAAAATTATACTCCAACATTTGTGGTCTCAAATAAAAGGGGTTGAGGGTTAATGTCAGCTAATTTAGCCTCCTTGTCGCATGCATCTAGAATTCATTAAACTTTCATTGAAATTATTATATATATATAAAAGAATATGAAAAAAATTACTGTTATCTGCAGCAGAAATCAGTAAAACAGGAAGCTTTATTTGTTGGTGAGTAAAAAATGTTTTCAGGGAGGGTTCAGAAACTGAGTAGATAAACCAGAGAACAAAACAATTGAACAAGCAACAAACCATAAGGAAGTGATGGTGGTGATACTGTGACAATGACAATGCAGCCATCACTGTTTTTTATTTTTCTTTTCTTTTCTTTTCCTTTTTGTTGTTGGTTAGAATGCCACCATTAATGTTACAGGACCTGAGAAGAGTACGTGTCTGCAATCAATGGGACCCCTGCAAAAAATTTGAAAATGCAGAACCAAATTGAAGAACACTGGTAAGGTATTATCTTGGATTTTGTTCCAATTTGATCTGTTTCTCTCTCCCAGGGGTCCAGCTATTTTGACTATCCTGTCTATATGGTCTATAGTTCAATAGGAGGGGGTTTGTTTGTAGCAGAAAAACTTAGGTGAAATGTGGATAGTGTTTTTCTATTTCTAATCAATCACAGACTGTTACGTAGAAAAGTTATCACAAATGACATGTCGCAATTGATTGGGAATAAAAAAATAATGATATTCCCATTTCGCACCAGTGTTTCTGAAGTTTGTTTGTAGAGGCAAACATTAAAAATCATAAATACATTAAGGCCATTAATAAGCCAGATAGCTTAAAGAGGGAAAGTTTCAGTAATGTATGGAATTCCAAAAGCTCTGAGGCTATGAGCTGTGGACCAACATGAAGATAAAGGACATCAATAGGCTTCATGTTCATCTACTCTCTGAAATTTGAAATTTTCTTTTTTTTCTTTTATCATCTGTGCCAAGTTGGCATGGCATCTCTCTTGTAAGCTAATGAAGGTCACATGATGTTGGGATTTGGGAACACTCTCTGGGCTGGTCCCAAATTGACAATCAAACAACTAGAAAGTTGAAAAATACTAGATAGATAGATAGATAGATTGTGGTCCAAACCAAAAACCAAAAACCCAAGAACCAAAAACCAGAAACCAAGGCATTGCAGCAGGGGAGGGAGAGAGTTCAGTGTTCCTTGTGCTGTGTGAACTTGGGCAAAGAAAAGAAATATATCACAAAGTCTCCTTGGGAGAAACAGGAGCCCTTGAGAGGGAGCAATGAGCATCAACTATTGACTATTTTTATCCCATCAAATCAATTATTAGCAAAAATAGTTTGGCAGGGTCCTCCTTTTTCAGTCCCAATATTGTCACTCTTATTGGACAATCACAGCACCTGAGAGATGGGTCACCATCCAGTGAGCTGTAACCTGCTGCAAACTATATATATATATATATGTACACACACCATAGTCTTATATCAAACCCTAAAAACTTTGGGACCATCTGCTTGTTTATATATACAGATACATGTACCTACATATTTTGGATGACATAGCCCATATCTAAAACTGCTTTGGGGATCTTTCTCTCAGGCCACCGAAACATATGTGTGAAACGGGAGTAACATTATTTTGCTATCTCTGGCCAATCACAACATGTCACACGCGACAACGTTTTCACGTGGCAGTTTATGATTGATTGGGAATAGCAAACCAATGCTATCTATATGTCATAAATCCCAATTTTATTGAGATAAAATTGCTTGGAAAATTTTTAAAAAAAAATTGGAAGGGTTGGTTGAAAATTCAATAAAATTTCCCATATGGTTTGTGCAGTGTACGTGTTTTCTTCTTTTTGTTCCTTTTTTAGCGTTCGTGTTAGAACACTGTGGTAGATATATTGTTGTCACTGAATGTTGACAACAAAGTCCTTCAAGCCTCTGTGACTCAGTAGAAGTTTTTACCCATTGGCTTGGCCATGGCAGACAAGATTTCAACCAACTGTTTTTGTTACATTTATCTATACATATATGGTTTGCATCCGAACACATCTTTGTTGTTGAACCTTATTTACCTACCTGGATCACATTCACTTGGTTTCACCTTCAATATTATCTTCGTACCATGTACTTTCTCTCTTCAAATTTCCATGTACAATTTCTTAAATTGTGACACTTCCTTAAACAAAATATATATATATTGATTTATGTATGATGATGATGATGAGCTGCAAGGATCCAGCTCGTGCGCAGCTCGATGAACAGAAAATTACTTTATTTCTTTCTAACTGTCTTACTTGACTTGTTTTCCCCTATCCAACCTGTATACAACAAACTGGTAATCATATTTGTTGACTAAACTCAAACAAGGTTGAAGAAAATTGGGATGATTGATGTTTACTTTTTTGTTAAAAATAACGAGTGTCCTGTTTGCTTTGCAATCTTTTTCCACAACACAAGCTTTCAATCTTTTTGACCATTGAACTCGGTAGTCATTTTCTGGTTTTTTTATAAAAAAAATTATTATTATTTTTGATAGAACTCAGACTCAGTTGTTTCCCTCTTGCAATGCCTTCCTTTTCATGTCTAATCATGTACGTTTTATCTTCTTCAATTTTTTGTTAATTAGTCCAAGGATTTCCACCGATTGCTTTTTTGTATAATTAGCAGCATTTCTAAAAGTTCACGAGTGCAAACATTAACACTACACTTGTATATAATTATGTGTCTATCTCTCTTATCACGTAACTAGTTAGGTGACGAAAAATAAATATATTATATATTCTTGTATACAACTAATTACGTTATTATGAAAGATAGACGCATTATCATATGCAACTTGTTATGCATTAAGAATATCGCTGGTAATTTGTGCTTCCAAGTAAAGAGGTGGAAAATGCACTAATTCTAACTTTATTTGGCTTAGCTTCCAGCTTTTCTGGCACCAATTCCTCGTTGTCTTCTTATCACATAAACACCAAAATGGTCAAGATTGCAATTGATGTCACACGTGAAAGGCAAGAAACCAAGCACCGTAAACGTGTGGTGAATGATTTCAATCATGCCAGTTTTTTTTAACCACAGCAACATTTCACACCACGACATGGAATAGCTTTTAGATCCAATATCTCTATGGATTAGTGGAATTACAAAAGCCAAAGAAATTTTTAGCCCTAACTTTGCTTTTGCGAAAAGAAATAGGAGACAAAGTAGAAGCTAATTATGACCATTAAACTATAAAATAAGCCAAACTAAAGTCTCCATATCAGAGAATCTCTCCCCATCCCCTTTCTTGAATAATGCAGTGGGAATGTTTGTTTGCTGCCCTTCAGGAAAAGCTCAAATAAGAAAAAGGAAGGGATTGCAATGATGATGTTATGCAGATTGAGGAACACAGATGAGATAGTTGAGTCAAAGCAGATAACCCCTTTTTGAATTATTGGAAAACAATGAGCTGGTTTTGTACTTAGGAGGAGGACCTATCAATGTTTAAAAGCAAATTCAATTATGGAAGGGCCACTCCACTTGTATAATATTGCTCACATCATTAAGCAGAATTTAAATCATTAATCAGCCCTTAATCCCGTTCCCTCCGTATTGCAAGATCCTCATTATCCCCCACATGAGCCAAAAGGTTTGGTTTTGGAAAAAGTTTCTTACACTTACTTTGGTTACAAACAGACAACCGGCCTCCCATGGCCTACCCTTGTCTTTTTCATTAACCCTGAATTTCCTCCACTAATTACCTTCAGATAACATAATCACCATCACCTTTTTCTACCCCTAACATCACTAATTTCTTCCTCTCTTTTTTCTTGTCCATGCAAAAACTTTAATACATTTCAACAAAATACATCCAGCTTTCTAGGTATCATTCCAAGCAGCAAAAAGAGGCAAGTGAGACATGGAGATAGCAGCAGGCCTCAGCTGGGCTGTTGGGAACCAAGAGCTAACAGCAGCAGCTGCTGCAGAAGTAGGGCAGATGAACTTTGATGCTAATGGAGGCTTTGCAAAGAGCATGTTGGGGCCAGATTTGTCAGGGCTAGCTTCTCTGGAGCTGCTCAAACTGGTCACCAATGAGGATGGATTTGAGAAATGTGCCCCAACCTTAGCAGATTCATCCATCAATGGCTGACTTGAGTTCACTGATTCAACACCAATAAGGTCCTGCAATGCCATTGAGAAAGAGGGATGCCTATAATTCAATGAACCAATTGATTTCTGATCAACTGTTTGAACACAGCTAGTTGGTTGTTCCTGTGCAGATTGGTACAAGGCCATCTTCCAGTCTAGACCATTCCCATTGTTGATTTCGGGTTGGTTGGCTTCCCCATTGTTCTGTGCTGATGGGTTATATTCAATGGCATTGGCCTCTATGTTAGGTTCTATCTCTTTGGTACGCCTAGCAAACTCTCCTGCAAGCAAGGTATTGCTGGCCATGATTTTTTCAACATCATATCTGGTAATGTCAAAGTTGGTGACCGCATTTACACCACGGAACTTGATTGCAGCTATGTCATAAGCTTCTGCAGCTTCCTCTTGGGTACCTGAAATTCAATTCAAGTGAGAAGTTGTGCAAAACTCACATTAATTATAAAGCTTTGCATGAAAGAGTCAAACTTTACAATAAAAATATAGCCTTTAATAAGTTATTTTAGCTGGGAAGTCCTTTTCTTCCTCTTTATCTTCTCTGAGAGAACACAGCCTTAAAAAAAGTTCCTTCTTACAGTGCCAAAGCAGACACCACCAGCCTTAAAAAAGTGTGAGAACAGAGTGACAAAAAATGAGTCCTTTGAAAAAGTGCTTACAGTAAGAGCCTCACGAAATTTAGAAAATGACCTAAACTATGGGAAATAATGCATATGAAGAATAAAGAGAGTTCAAACAATGCATGAATTTACCAAAAGTCCCAAGATACAGGTCTTTGTTTCCTGCTACCCTGCCAATCCTAGCTTGCCATCTCCCATGCTGGTGATGTCTGCAAAAAACCAAGATGAGAACAAATCTAAAATTAGCATAAAGTAACCATTTGAATTTTGAACCTTAAATTTGTGTTTAAGGCAATAGAAAACCAACAAACCTTGTTACTCCTCGGTACATTGATGCCCCCCTTGAAAATCCACTGCTTTTCCTGAAAATGAAAGAAACTCATGAATAATCTTCTTAAAATACAGAAGCATTAGAAACAGTCTAAGAATAACAAATAAAGAACATGTACCTTCTCAGATGCGCTACATATTCCTGCCGGCTCATATTCTTCATCTCTTCAAGTTGTGCAGTGTAATTTTCCAACTGCCAAAAGACCAAGAGGATGAAATTTCAGCTACTAAAAAAAGCTTTAAAAAAAAATTACGAAAAAAACTGCCAAAAGTTGAGAACCCTACTGGAAAGTTTATATGGGTTGCAGAACCCCAGTACTTAAGGGCGGCAAGATCATAAGCTCTTGCAGCTTTCTCTTCCATATCATAGCCTCCTGTGGTTCAAATGAGAAAATGATTAATGCAAATCAATAACAACCCAGTGATTAAAACAAAAATTCCTCATTATTGTTACAGAGAAAAAGACATACCCAAATAAACTGCATTATTTGATTTGAATGGCATCCAACGGGAGCATAAACATGACAGGTAAGAATTAATAGCACAAGTCAGATATCACCAACAGGTAGGGACCAAAAATTTCAGCAAAACATGAAAAACTACCAAACATCTACTAAGACTGGTGCAGATTTTTTTGACCAACCTTGCCGTCCTTTTCTAGTTTGCCCTTCCTTCTTGCAACTGTTGTCCCAAAGATGGGCCTCATATCTACCAGTCCATCTATGTCTGGTGGAAGCAAATTGGAAAAAAAGGGTTACTTGGATAACAATCAGAGAAGAAATACCGAGTTAATGTAATAAAAAATGAAAATACAAACAATTTCTATCAACATAACAAGAGTGAAGAAATGGGATTAAGAGATGGTTTGAGTTGAACCTTGTGACACCTCTGTACTGTGAAGTTCTCTGCCCAAATGTGTCAATGGACTTCCTATGTACAGGTTGCTTTTGGCTAAGTTTCCCACCACCTCTCTTCTTTGTTTCTATGGCCACACATTCTGTTCCAGTGGGTGAGATCTGCCTTGGAGCTGTAACACAGCTGGACTGAGAACCAGGGCTCATGGACAAAGTAAGAGACTGTAAATCCCCACAGTTCATTGCACCATTAACAGAACCAGAACCTCCACCATCATGAACCAGATTGTTGTTCATGTGCTGCTCCAGAGCTTGATGAGCAGAGTACTGCCTAGCCACCCAGGTTTTCAAGCCCTCTTGCATTTGAGTCATTTGGGGATTTTCAGAGCCTACAATGTGAGTCTGCTTAGATTCTTCCTCCAATGGTGTTTGGTACATTCCATGGCATGGAATTCCAGAGTAATATGGGTGGGAATGGACTGGAATATGTTGCTCTGCCTCTGCATTTTCATGGTAATAGATGCTGTCTAAGCTCAGAGCCATTGCCTCTCTTTCTTGGCTTCCATAGTCACCAGCTCCCATGCTTGCTCCACCTAGAAAGTCCTCCAGTTTTGGGGATGAGTTTGGCACCACCATTCCTTATAATAAAAAACAAAACAGAAACATTTCAGAAATTCAAGCAGTTTGCTTAGAAATAGAACATGAAAAATGTACATGTTAGGTTGAGCAAATTAACCTTCTGTTTGTGACCTGCTGAGAGCTTCCATTATACATAGAGACCCATCTGACTTGAGTGGCATAACAGTCAAGGGAGAGTGAAAGCCACCATTTTCTCCAACTCCATAACAGAGTCCAGAACTGCTGAGGTGAGGGTTCAGATTATAGAAGGTGCTTGGCAGAGCAGCAGCAGCTGAAGAAGCCTGACCTTGATGATTGTAGTGGTGATGATGATGATGCTGATGAGGGTCAGAAGTAACCTCCATTTTCATGTGGGGTGAGAGTGAGAACCCCAACCAGTTATTATTGCTTCCATTGTTGTTATTATTGTGATCATTCATGGACTTCATCTTCTTCTTTCTCTCTCTTCCTTTTTTTTATCTCTTTCCCTTTCCTACTTCTAAAGGTTCTCACTTGAACTTCTCAGCAGTATCTCCAGCTGCAAGGCAACTCAATCATTGAGAGCAAATAAACTAATCATGTCAAAAATCTCTTGCCTCCCCTCCCCCATATATGAAAAACTTGGTTTTTTGTTGTCTAGCTTCTGAACTGGTTTCAAGGAAACTAACTTAAACTCTTCATTCTATGCACTCACATATATAACATCTTGGTTCTCTCACTCACTCTCTCTCTCTCTCTCTCTCTCTCTCTCTCCCCAAAGACAACAAAACCTGTGGTCTCTTTAAACTAAACAAAAAGAATAAATATTTCTAAGCTAACAAGCAATGCTGGAGAGCACCCCAGCATATATCCCATAGGGATCTGTGTATATGAGAAAGACCACAACTTTTGCTTTTTCCTCTCACTTCTCTTGCTCTTTTTCATAAACCCTTCCAAAAACCCAGATCCAATATAACGCTTAAACCCTTTTCCAACACACAAACCCACGTTTTACCTCTCAAAAATACACCTAAGTTTCCTCATTACCCAAACAAACCCAGAAATTAAATGCAACCCAGAAAAAATATTATAAACTTTTTTCTCTTCTTCTCACTCTTCATTGACAGTGGTCAGTGGTCAGTTGAATCTAGTGGGTGTGAAATAGCCAATGGGGTGGAGAGAGAAATGGTCAGATATCCAAAACTAGTTTGCTTTATTTTTACAGTCACAGGACCTAAGATAGATTTGACGAGCAGGACACTGCCCCATCCAGTCACTTCATACAGTACAGCCTTTGTGCCACTCTGCAGGCCCAAAGTATCTCAAATTTTAAAATCCCATTGATGTTTTCTTTTCTTTTCAGTTTAAATTTTTGCTCTAGTTTGGTTTACATATTGAAATGGGAAACAAAATAGTAACGTAAAACAATGGAATAACTAAAAAAAGAAACAAATTTTATTTTATTTTATTTTTTGGCAATTGATGTTATAATAAAAAGATGAAATTGCAACGGGAATAATATTATTATGTTATGATCAGCTAATAATACTATTTCACGTTGAAGTTTTATCACATGTGTCAAAACGTTATTGATCAAAAATAGAAAAATAATGACCATAAAAAGGTGATAGGCTCGTAGTCCATCACAACTGTCCAGTTTGATAAGGATTGGAGTGAAATTATTAATTATGTGCTTCATTTGACCTCACAGCTGCGATGGTAATCAATTGGTATCCAAGTTTGATTTTTTTCCTGTTTGTTTGTTTTATTGGTTGGTTCGTTTGGCATAATGCTCCTATGATTGGAAAGAAATACGACGTTGCTGTTGGAAAATAACAAATTTGGTAAATTAAATGTTGTTTTTATTATTTATTTATCATAAATATGTGTTAATTTGGAGGAAGCAATTTAACCTGGCAAGAAAATGTGGCTTAATTTGGATTTAAGTAGGGAGCTGCTGAGTGTTTAAGTCAACACCTGCTTCCAGACAAAAAGTAGGACGTGGGTCTTGTGATATGCTAGAAATATTCCAGGAATGATGAGCAAAGGCCCCCCATAAAAACGAGCTTTTTGTGCAAAATGCATTTTATTTCTCATCCTATTTTCATCTTTTTGGTTTGATGCTTTGATTAAAAATGTCCTCCTGCCATTTTCTTATTCTGCATATTCCTACTGCTGCTGCTGTTTCATCACATGTGTTTCTGAGAATTGTTTTTGACCAAACAAGCGATAGTATTTTATTACATAGTGTTTCAGAGAATTGTTTAATACTGGTATACAAACACGTGGATTTAAAGGAAATGACTTGGATTTTTTAAAGAAATATTTGAAGCATTGCATTTTTATTTAATCATTTTTTGTCAATATATTCCCCAATTTTCCCTTTCTTTTTTGCTGAGAATGGCAGGAAGTTGTCCAAATAACTTTTTCAGTGTTTGCCCTTTGGTGTCTACATGGAGCTGTTTGTGCATGAAAGTTTTCATGGGGACAGATTTTCAAATGTGAATGATTTTGGTTTGAACCATGAAATATTGACTGAGTTTTGGAGGGAATTAATTGGAAAAGAAATACCAGAGAAAGCAAAAAAGAAAGAGAGACTGAGTGTGTAATGCGTGTGCATAGAGGCCTTCTTTTATGATGATATGGTAATGATCAAAGAGACCACTAAGATTCACTTATTTTTAATTAATTTGTGCATGCCCTTTTGTACCAAAGCTAATAATGCATGCCCTTCTAATCTTAGTTTCATATATATATATATATACACACTATAATTTTCACCAAACTTTGATGGGTAGTGCTTCTTTTGTTTTAAATCAAGTTTAGGGCCCTACTAATTGCATCAAAATGGCCAAGCATTGAACCTGAAAAACCAAACTTGATTAATTAATTAGTGTTTAATCACATCATTTACTAAATGGGTTACAGAAGATGGCGGGAAAAGGGGGATGCCAGAAGCACAAAAGAGACAATATTTGTCTTAGCTTGTAATTTGTATTTTTGTAGTATTCAAATAGTCAGACTTGTGGACCTTACTTGGGTAGAAAAAAAAATGCCAGAGAATTGCACACACGATTGAGCAAGTCAAACAGTAGAAAACAGTTAAATGCCAGCATACACAATCTTCTTAATTTTTTTAATAAAGAAAATACCTAATCAGTAAATAATTACATTACTTTAAAAAGATTATGATGTCAACGAGGTCCAATCCAATGAAAATGACCATGATTTGCATATTAGAGGTTTTAAGTTCGAATCTCCATGACATTTTAGTTATGTGTGTGAGAAACCCTCTAACTGATTTCTTCATTATTGTCGAGCCACTGAACTCCACATATATTGTTTAATATAATTAAGAGATAAAAAGAGGATATACTTTTAACTAAATTAATGCACTGATTGAAGACATGTTTATCTCCTTAATCAATATCAAACAGCATGTTGTGGTGGTGGTGGTGGAGGTGCCAAAGTCAATACAAATTTGCAGATAAATGAAGCTGCTGCAGGTGCTTCACAGAATCCCGGTAGTGTACAATAATATTTTCTGGCGGCAAAAACAATTTTGTCTATGGTATTATTCACAAACAGTGCCTTTTCTTCAAACAACTACAAGAAAGAAACATAAATAAACCTAAACATAATTACCTACCAAATAGAAAAGATGGAGTACAGATAGTTTCCAGCCACCTCAGTTATTTGGGTACTTCCAGTTCCATATATATATATATATAAAACCCTAAATTATATATTTATTGGAATTGTTGCAAGGTGTAAATGGTGTATATAGATAGATAGGGAGTGAGAGTCAGAGAGGGATTTAATGAGGGGAGAGGAGTTAAGAGAATCACGTGAGGAAGACAAAATCCAAACAAAATCTAAGGAAAGATCAGTTCAGCACATAAGCCAATATGAAGAAAGAAAAAAAGTGGATTATGAGATCACTGGAGGGAGCCTGGATGATGGCTACCCAACCCAACCCCAGCCAGCCCAACTCAGACAAGGACAACTGTAGGTTTATTTAGATGTGGACTCTCCTCCCTCTGCTGTTGTTATGTGCAATGCATGCCTCTCTCTCCCTCAACTGTTGTGTTTCTCTGTTCATATTGAAATTTTGCTTATTTCACCCTCTCTCTCTCTCTCCATTTATTAAGCCTACCTTGCATGCCAAGCCCAGAGCCCCTTACATTACCAATTTCTATCTGTCACTGCCCCTCTCTCTCTCTCTCTCTCTCTCTCTCTCTCTCACAGCCTCAGCCCGAGATGACATGTCAAAATCTAAGCCTATCTGTCATGTCACAATCACCTTAGATTCTCTCTCTCTCCCATTTCTTTAAGAGTGCCTCCTTTAATTCTCTTCTAATTAAACGGATAAGGAGTACTGCTAGGTGATTAGCTCTGATATAAGAAAATAGAAAGAAAAAACCCCCAGTTTTCTTCTGTCATCTGTGAAACACGAGCCTCAAAAAAGTACCTTGATTACAAATTTGAGCACTTAACTTACCTTAAGCAAATCAATACAAGTTAGAACAGACCACACCTATTACTTTAGATAGGAGAGGGTTTCATTTTGAAATCTAATTAATATTTGATTCAATTGATGATCACTGGTCTCTAAGATACGATTGAGTTGAGACGTGCTTTTAATGCCTGATGCTGTATAGCATAGCTATTAGCTAGTAGCAGTGTAGCACTGCACAGGAAGGTAGGCAGGCAGGCAGACAGGCAGGCACGTAGCTTTTTCAAATGTATTCATTCATTCATTCATTTGGGGTTTCCTTTTTGCTTGATTAAATGGAAGAAGAGGATGAAAAATGTTTCTTTTTTTAGTATTGTGGGATTTTAGGCCCAAACATGTTCTGACCGCATGACAGGAATGTGGTGAAAAAGAAAGTCATATAGCCTTTCCCCCGCACCCCACACACCTCTCCCTATATACATATATATGCATCATCAACCCTAAACCCTCCCTTTCTTCACGTGGCACTCTCTTCTGTCACAATATAAATGAATTTTTTTGAACTTGTACAAGCAAAAAAGAAGAAGAAAAATGCTATTATTTGTCAACTTAATCAGCTTGTGAAAAATGATTACAGAATCCCCATAATCCCCCCAAGCCAAATCAGATTCTTCTCAGATCACAAAATCATGATCACATGATCTATCAAAGGTCAATGGTACTGGCGAACCATGACTGAAACAACTGTGTCTGACTGAGGAAATAATTTTAACAACTGGGTTTTTAAAAAATAGGGTTCTTGCCCTTCCTAGCCACATTCTGGCAGATGGGACATGTTGAGCAGCCATGGTGACGGCTACAGGGCTACCTCTAGGCTAGCATAATCTAGAATTTCAGCTATAGCCGCATTAAAGCCTAGTTACTATGCAGACAGATATGTCAAATCTTCTTTTTCTTCTTTCACTATTGTTCTATTTAAGGAGAAGGAAGAGAGGGAGAATAAAAAAGGAAGAAAAAAATTCCGTTGCCGGGACTTGAACCCGGGTCTCTCGGGTGAGAGCCGAGTATCCTGACCAACTAGACTACAACGGATTTAGTTGGCAATTAGGGGATGGCGAGACTAATAAAGCAAGAAAGAGATGGAGATGTCCAAGAAATTTAACTTTCAGCACATACAGGCCCAATGGGCTTTTCCAATAACCAGTCTAAGAGAGTCTATCCACGAGGCTGGCCCATTTCCATTGGCGTTCCCATTCCCTTTCGGCTATTAAGGAATCCATCATTATAACCCCTCGCTATGAGTCCTCACTATAGCCCCCATGTTCCCTGTCCACGGCACAAAATTGAACAACCCCGAGAAGCTAATAGCATGTTTCGTGATGGATTTTTTATTGCCATTTTAATATTGATCCATTCTTTTTCACTACCACTGTATACTCTATATTTTTTGGTCAATTAAAGCTTGTTCAAGAATGGCTAAATACGAACTCAAAAACGGTGACAAGAATTAGACAAAGGAGACGCTTCATCACAGAATTCAAAAGAACTAGTCAAGCAGTACAAACCAACAATTTCGACTTCCATTATTGCTATAGCTTATTCTGTAACCATGCGGCCAACAAAAGACTCTTACCCAAAGCCACCTTCTCACCCAGATTAAATGGGATAGGAAGAATAAATATAAATAAACTGGTGGAAAGTCCGTCAAACAAACAAGTATTCTCTTCATAAATCAATCTCGTTTCTTATCTTACACTCTTTATGTTTCACAATGTACGTCAAAGGAAACTATCCAAAGGGCTTATAAGTATGAGAAGAACTGAAATGAACTGATGTCAGGATTGGTAATAACAGTATGGTACAAGTAGATTGAATTAACCGCCATCATCACCACCTTCGTACTAATGATGTGAGCAACTGCAACAAATTTTAAACAGTTAACTGTTAGCAACAGTATGTCGAAATTCTCTACGAGTGTTGAACTGTTGAAAGACAGATATGGAAAAACAAAACAAAACAAAACAAAATGTGGGCTCTGTCCAGTATAAAATACATTGTAAATTTTAACTATAAGATAATTTTAAAAAGGTTTAAATTAATAACAATCTACTATTCTCCAGTGTGGTAGGCATTGCAGCTATTCCCATACTAAAGGAAGATCTTGATCTATCTCTTCTTGTTAACAACAAGACTAAGGGCAAAATTTTAAATTTTATCATTTCAAAGTCTTGTTATTTCAAATGAACAGGGCAATTTCTGGGAAGTATAAAATTAACAAACTAAATAAGATCAGAACTTGGAATGATTGTAGGCACAATATCAATTACACCTTTTCCCCCGTGCTGTATACAAACAACTTACATGAAGGAACTCATGTAAAAAATTAGCAGCCTTTAGGACATGGGTTCTGGCTTGCATATGGCCACTCTACATGCTTCAAATTCCAAGCACAATATGCAAGAACTTTCACACTGAACCATTTTCTAAAACAAGCAAACTACTCCCTACCATGAGATCGAGTGCAAGGAACTTATTCTCGTCATATACACTGAGATTAATTTGTTCGTACCAGTACAGGAAACAACATTATCCAGGAAAACTTGCATTTGTGAAGGCAAAATACTATAACTATGACATTAAAAAAATTCCAAATGACAGTTTATGCCAATAATATTTTTGTACCTCAAACAATTCAAATGGACTGCCACGCCGATATACATCACTCTTCTTGCTCTTATCACCAGGAAGAAATTTATACAAAAGTGCTCTCCATCCAAGAAGTAAAACAGCAGAGCTCCCCATTGTTACAAGTATAAATTTGTATGGTGGAAGGTGGCCTGCTGTTGATGCCCTTATGATTATCCCAAGCTGCCAAAAAAGTAAAATGGAAGATGGAGTGACATCAGGTGTCTAGTAAACTTAGTGCACACCAATACAATGGAAAGCATCACTCAGTAAAACAGCTATGCTCTAATGCAAAATGTTTCAAATTAACAGATCATGCAAATCAAAAGACAAAACTCGAAGAAACAATAATAGAGATAAGATGGAGCGGCAAAGTGGCTTATAATTTTATAAAAGAAAGCCTTGCATAATAAACTTAATTGCTTCCTCTCAAGCTACAGGAAGCAATACCACTCTGAAACTATGGAAATCGAAACCAAATACTTAAAGCTCCAAACATATTAACTTACTGGAATCCCCAGGGCCCATGACTTAGCTGTAGCAGTAAGAGCCTTTGACTGACCATTGACTCCACGTCCATCCTTCCCATAGCCTCCAAGGAAATAAGCACTCAAAAACCACCCTGTTCAACCACATTTGGCTTTTTGGTTAAAACAAAGACCCAAGGCCATGCTTTCTTTCAATCTCAAAACAAGCTTAACAATGAACAAGCATACCGGCGATAAAAGGGTCAGCTGTGCGCAGGGTTTCAAATTCAAAAACAGAAAACCCATGACTGAATCTTCCAATTGCAGCAAACGTAAGCAAAGCCAAAACATCCCCACCAGCAAGCAATGCCACTCGACTGAAACACAACCCACAAACTGAAATCAATAAACAAAAATTTCAAAATTCAAGTAATTTTTTCTTTCCAAAATTATTCAAATTACCCCCATTTGCGTAAACGAGAAGACGAACTGGGCTTCTCAAACTGAATGACACCTTCCAAGGGTATGTTCTCCTGACCCACGAAAACTGGTTGGTCATTGTCCAAAGAAGGAGGAGGCGGAGGAGCTGGTGAGCTAGAAAAGGCCTGTTTGGCTGCGGCTGAAGTCGAATCGATGCCTCCATCGGCCTTCGCAAGCGTGATATTGAGGGATTTCGAAGGGTTTGCTTTGGAAGCGAACCTGGGTTTGCGGTTAGAGAAGAGAGGTGGATTTGGGTTTATGAATTTGGGAGGGGACGAGAGAGAACAGCGTCTGGCCGATAAGGCTCCGCTTGGAGCTTGGCCGAGCACTAGCATTTTTGCGCTCTCAGTTTTGTTGTTTCTTCAGCTGCCCCGCTTGATTCGCTTTAACAACACCACAAGTTTCAGTGCAGCCCAAGTAGACGAAACGCCATCGTTTTCGTCTTCTTGTCTCGTTTGATTTGGGCCTTGACGAAATTTCATAATTTTTCTGGTTTATATTTGTTGTACCCACATTTTCGTTAAATTTTCTTCATATTTCTTAACTTCAGTCAATGACATTTTTTAAAACAAGCGATAATCTAAATTACAGATCGAGAGGGGGTGTTTTGGTATTTATACGATATTTAAATTTTATTTTCCAACACAAAGTCATCCATATACATAAACTTGATGTGCAAATCCAATTTGATTAGGTAAATTAGTTAACAAGAGACTTTGGATGAACGCCCCCATTACTTCTTATTTTATTTATAATGTAAAAGAGTGAGAGATGAAATCATGGGAGATGAGTGAATTTTCTACGCAATTTGAAGTAGAGGGAAATCATGTTAAGGAAAGGATCAAACAAAGAATCCAGCAACACCCATTAAGGATTGGCCTTCTCTTTGAATGCAAAGAACTATGGGCCACCTCATAATTGCCAATGGATTACAACAGAAACAGGTTAAATTAAAATGTATTTACAATTTCCAACAGGAAATCAATGCCCAATGTGACTAATGATTTGTACAAATTAACTCCAATCACGCAAATGCTTTCAGTCCCAAACCTAACTACCTGAATTATGAATTACAGAGGTCACAGTCCTGTGTAGATAGGTGGTGAAGTTATCCATCAAGACCTCTTTGAATTTCTTTTCTTCAAACCAGCACTGTTGCTTCCAGAATCCACATCTAGTTTCTCCGCTTCAACCCGAGATGACTTCACAGAAGCTGGTGCCTGCCCATTGCCAAAAACAACCTGATTTGATATGCCACCAACAGCACCATGCCCCAGAATCCCACTATACCCACCTGCCACCAAGCCCCCACCACGCATGTGGCTCGGATATAAAGAGTTGCCATAAGGAAGCATCCAGGCCTGAGGAGCAATTGGAGCAATGCCATAAGGAATCCCACCAGATCCTCCCGTAGGGTACCAACCGCCATAAACACCGGTTCCATACATAAATGGCCCAAACCCATTATAAGGTGTGGGACTAGGAAGAATCCCATATGGAGTAGGACTATAAGTATAAGGAGGGTAATTGACCGGTGTATAACCACTGTCGTTACTGTTATTCTCCTCCTTTGGCACAGCCTTCTTGACCTCCACAAACCTACCATTCAACTCATGAAAGCTTTGCTGCATAACATTCTCAACAGCATCCTCCGAAGCGAAGGTAACAAAACCAAACCCCCTAGGTCGGCGGGTTGTGTTGTCATACATCACCACAACATCCGTTACACTCCCAAACTTCTCAAAATAATCCTTAAACCCCTCCTCAGTCAGACTCGCTGATAAACCCCCAACAAATATCTTCCTTGTTCTAAACTGATTGTGGCTATTCTCAAAGCTTCTACTACTACTCCTACTCGACCAAGTACTTTGATGTTGGTTTCTGAGTTGTTCGCTTCTGGGAAAGGCTTTCTTTACATCTACCTATAAACGAAATTGATAATTAATTATGCAACCCATAAATTAAATCTCTGTTTTGGTTTTGCTGCAAAATGCAATGCAAGAAAGGAGACTATGATTCTGAAGTTTGCATTTTTAATTCCGTTTATCTGACTTATACAAGTAAATTTGGGGGAAATTATAATACTTTCTCACTAAAAAAAAAATCCCTTTTTTTCTCACGGCTTACATTTTCTCAGAAACCAAACAGAACGATTAAACAAAGCATGTAAGCAGATAGGGCCAAGAGAAATCTTACCGTTCTCCCCAGAATCACATGGGGATCTTCTAGGGCTTTATCAACCGAAGACGAGTCAGAGAACCAGACGAAGCCGAAGCCTCTAGGGTGGTTGGTGCTGCGGTCCTTGGCGATGACCGAGCCCACAACGGTGCCGTAGCTCCGGAAATGGTATTTCAGTGTCTCTTCACTTGTCTCCCGAGAGATGCCCCCCACGAACAGCTTTGCTTGATCAGAGTCCATAGAGAATTCAGCCCAAAAACCCTAGCTGTAGCTGCACAGAAACCCTAAAACCCTAAATTACGCCAAAATCCCTAGAAACAGGACGAGCTACACGCGAATTAAAATTAATAAATAAAAACAAATAAGATAAAAATAAAAAGTAAAAGCTTTTGGTCAAGAAAGTTGATAAATTATTAACCAGCCCAAAACTCACAAGTTGACCTACCGAGTTGCAGTGACTCGTGAGCTTAGCTACCAATCTACGACGAACGAAACAAGTCAACAAAAGTCTACCTCGATTTGATTGATTATCTATAATCCATGGCCCAGGATCTGAGAGATCTACGACACTACGACTTCCTTATACATGTGGAAGACTAAACGCGGCGTCGAAACCTCTTAGTATCAATTTTTGGAAATGCCCTTGGGTGTTTGATGGCCCAACATTTCAGCTCTAAACATCTTTGCTTCAGGAATTGGACCCTCTGTTTGTTTTTTTGGGCTAGCTGTAGAATGTTCTTATTTTGGGCTTTTGAGTTATGCCACAAACAACAAAATTAAGAAGAATTAAAAAAAATGCTGGCGTGGGTTAGGTCAGTTCACTAAGAGCATCTCCAAAAGATATGTCAAAAGTACCACATAGAAATTTAACGGTTATAAATAACATCTTACATCACTCCAACCAAATTGTCAAAGATGATGTGGAATGAAGGCTAGAGGTTCAGTCGTTACGTTTGACATCCCAAAAGCAATATACCAAATGAATATTTTATTATTTTTTAAAGACAGTTAGCTTTTATTTTCATTTTTTTTTCTTCTTTATCTTGAATGATTTGACTATTACAAATTTTTTCCTCTTTCTCTTCCCAATTTATTTCCAATTTAAATCAACACTAAAACATATTTAATAATTTAATTTGACATATCGGGGTGGAGTGTAAAACTATGTAAATGTCAAATTTTCACATTAGTTATCAAGTTTAAATTTGATGTTTAGTATTTAACATATTCCTTGGAGATGCTTTAAGGTAGTTTGTTCGTTGTCTTGCACTCGAGTTCGATCTCTCTCCTCGTACATTAGTTACAATATCGCTTTCTTGAAAAATAGATAAAAAAGAAAGAAAGAAAGAGATAGCATACTGCATTTTCAAATTAGTAAACCGTTAAAAATATATTGAGTAAATAAAATGAAATAGTATACTTTTCAAATGGAGATTAAAAAAATAAGAGTATGTTTTTAATTCCACTCGTACCATTTTATGCCACATTAATGAACATGATAATAATCAAAACAAAATTAAGAGTATAATGATCTAAAATTCACATTAGATAAGATTGTGAATCTGTACTAATCGGACTATAATATGTGGAAGAAAAGAAAAAAAAAGTTGGTGAGTTGGTTGTTTGCAGGAGGATTCAATCCCAAGATCTTCTCACATGCTAAAGCAAGAGGCAGCTAATCACTAATATAATCCTTGAGTTCGTTTGCGTGCGAATATTCGAAAATCGTGTACAAATTTTAATTTCAAGGATAAGAAATTAAGAATCCACGTTAATCATTTATCTAATCAATCTGTTCCCCATTTTTTTATTTATTCGCATGTGGCTAGCTATAAGGTTTGAACAAGTCATGTTGTTTGATGAGACATGGATTTAGATAGAGACAATGCCCCTAATAAAGTCATTAGGTTCAATAATTTATTCGCAAAGGATTTTTATACGTTATACGTTCTAAATATGTGTTGTTATATTGTCTAAATATGTGTTGTTATATTGTCAATATGAATCGATAGTATATAAGAACTTTTATTTGAATATGATGAACAGTTTGACAACATGACATTACTCGTATAATCATTTAATTAATCAAAATATTATCCCAACCCTGAATTTAAATGGCATGAATTCATAAAATCGAAGGCGTACATATTTTGTTAATTGATAATAATACCATTCACCATAATCAAATCAAACTCCCAAGCTTTGCGTGACAAAGACACACATTTGGGATATTGTTGCCATGAGTGCCCCCATTAATCAAATATTTGAAAGATGCAGGGCAAAAGGGATTAATTAAAGTAAACCAAACAAAATGATGACATGAGAAGCATCTTTGGTGTTTTGTGCTTTAAGAATTAAACGAGGTTTAGCAGTCTCTCATGCATTTGCATACAGCTTATTATCTTTGTCATCTTCTCGTTGCCAAAACCATGACATATAATACCCAAAGCTCGTTGCTCATAAAAGCCAGCATTTCTTTATGTAAATTATATCTTCGGGTTCTGGGTCGTCAAAATGGCGCAATGGCCATGCTAGTGGAGGCCATGAGTGGGAACCCAACTTCCAAGTAAATAAAAACCTACTCCAAGTGCTATATGCACCAACTTGTTGGAGTTTGATCCAAGGGTTGCATAGTTTAACTTTATATTACATGGAAAACGGCATCATCTTGAGCCATGTGGCCATCAAGCGAAGAACATGGCATTGGCATGCATGTAAATTTTGGATGGCATTTTGATTTGGACGAGAGTAATACTAGTAAACCCTAAAACTTCTAGTCCATTCATATGTTAATTTTAGAATTAGTATCGGTTGAATCATTGTTACTATTTAATTTAGCAACATTATGCGTCCGTGACAATAAGAAAAAAAAACACAAAGATTGTGTTGTGTGATGACCTTTGAAAATGAAGAAAGACAACCTTGGAAACGGACAACCTTGGAACCCAATCAATCTAGTCTAGGAGAGGAGAGGAGAGGAGGGGCATGGTGGCTCCTTGAACAATGAAGATTATAAACCCATTTGTTTATTTTGAGTTTGACCAAAAAAACTAAAGGCGATAAGACATGCCTTTGGGATTACACATCCCCTTTGGATTTTGCAGGCCCTAGAAAAAATTAGGGTCTTGTTTTTTATGCCCTCCACATCGAAACCCGCAGGTTATTATCATTGTTTTTTTCTCAAGACCCAATGAATAATAATACTAATTATAATAATAATGATAATAATGTAAAACAGCTTTCCCTGTGCAAGACATTTGTAACCCACTATTCCGCGAACCAAAACCCTAACAAACTAACCCTAATATTTTATTATCATATAATGTAAGTTCCCAATGCCATTGTATTATTCCATGTCTTGGAAGCCCCGAGTAGTTTCTTTCCTTGAACTCAGAGCTCAGAAAACAGAGAGATTTTCACACAGATACATACGTGTTTCATATCCGAATAATACATTTATTTTTCGTATAATTATGAAGTATGAAGTATTTTCCAAAATTTCAAGAAAGAAAAAAGAAGAAGCAAAGTTTGTCACATGACCATCATGAGCTCAACTTGGGCCCCATGTGAATTATATAATGTGATATTCTGGGACCCTATAATTATTATGTTTGGTTTTACTGTTTTTAGTCCCTTTTTTTTTCTTTTGGGGCAAAACAGTAGATATTCATTTGAAGAATATGGCATAAACATATGATATGATACAACAGTAAGAACACAGCTCCAAAAAGAGGTTCTTGCAAAATAGAGACTGAAACAATAACAACAACTAAGCACCAGTATTACAAGATAGCTAGAAAACAAATATACAGTTTGAACCCCAGCTAACAAGGAGTAACAGATAAGGAGGATCCTAATTCTGCAGTAATCAATGCTTAAATAAGATCAAGACAAAGAACAAACTCTCAAACTTCATGAGACAGGAAACACCCCAAGAGTGGAGGGCATAACCGCATAACTTCCACCAGGACATTCCAAATAATATCACAATATATCCTAATTCCCTTTATCCCTAAGCACAATAAGAGTAGATCCATCAAAATCAGCAACTCCAACTCCAAAATAAAGAGATCTACCACAAAAGCAGTAGATCTAGTAAGATCATCCCCTAGAACCAAGCGATTTGTAGATCTGGAGTTGGTTTTGGGCAAGGGTAAGAAGAAGAGTCGACAAAGTGGTATCTGTTTTTAGTCTTCTCAATTTACATCACGCTTATATAAATTTATACTAATGTTTTTGAAACTACGATCAAATCTCACGTTATTTTCTCAAACTTAAAATGACTTACTTACCATATAATGTCAACTCTGTCCAAAATTTCATTATTTTTTATAATGTGGTAGGGTGTTCTCTACACACATGTCATATTGTCATTGGTAAAAATGTACAAGTTACTACGTATATGGAATAAGAGAAGTATTTTCTTTAATTTGAGGCTTTCAGAGTGTCAAATCAAATTACGAAGACGATACTTTTTGGGAAATTTCCGACTCGCCAATTATTATTCAGGTCTAGTTACAAATTCACAATAAATTATTATTATTTTTCGTCTTTTTCTGTTTTGAAAGAAAGAAAGTCAAAAGAGTCTGTACTGTAAGGAGATGAGGTTCAGCGCTGAATAGCAAAACTCGTCCACAAAATATCAGATGAGGGGATGGGTGTGTGGGCCCATTTAGTGGGGTGTGGTGGAAAGGCCCGTTTTTAAAGATGTACGAAGGGGATGACGTAAATGGGACAATGCACCCAGCCCATGGCTGTCGGCAAAGAGGAGGCGAACTTGGTCTTCCGAAACTCACTTTTTTTCTTGAAACCCAGCAAATAAATTTCATTTTATTTTCAAATTTTTGGTGATGGCCACTTGTCAGTCCAATAGGGTGGTGAAGTCTCTGTAGATAAAGACAGCAACGTAGGCGGGGACTAGGGAGACATGTCCTGGTTCCACGTGTCACTTTCATCACCACACCCCCTCTTGACACGTCAACGTTACTCTAACCATAACTCTCACTCTCTCTCTCTCTCTCTCTCTCTCTCTCTCTCTCTCTCTCTCTCTCTCTCTCTCCTCAATTTTAAAATAAATAAAAAAATAATGAAAACCAAGGAAGAAGATGCAAGAGGCAAAGAGACAGGAAGGGAAAGGAATAGTGTCATTCCCCAGATGAGATGCATGCCAGATTGCCAATGCCCATAAATATTATCCAATATGTTATCTTTAGCAATACATACATAGATATATAATTTAT